TTTAAACGTGAATATCGTGACATCGATAAAAATGTAAATTACACAACGCAATAAAAGTTAATGCACGTTAGTAAAACTTTTAACTTACTCCCCCACCCCTACCGGACATCTGTGAAACACAGCCCCAGTAGCTCATCGGATTCCTCCAGTCGAAGTGAACTAAAAACTAAACTATTTTATTTATTTTGCCAAGTTAAGCCCCAACTAAGCATTATAACTCTGTTGCAGAAGCGACCGGGCAATCACAAATGAGAGCCCAACGAAATGGCTTTTCATCGTCAGTGTGGAAATTTATAGCAGGAGCGAAATAGTCTAAACGCGTGATGTTGATTATAAATGTTGGAGGGAAAACCCAGAGGACTCGGAGAAGAATCCACGTGATTACCGAGAGAGAGACACCACAAACTCTACATATAGAGCTGCGTCAGGGTCGGGATCGAACCCACGACCTCCTGTGTACCAGGCGAGGTAGTCAACATCTCCCAGCCAATCTGTGCACTGATCGATAGGGCTGCTCCCACTTCTCGGTGATAGAGTTCCGGTCTCGTTCGATCTGTCGCTTGCGGGGAGTTGTTGTTGTTGCTGTTGTTGTTGTGAGTTGTTTGCGGACAGCTCGTTCGGGTGACGTTGTCCATTTGTGCAGCGGAGCCCACGTGACCCTCGCTACTGTCAAGTCGCGATCTCGAGCGGCCTCTAGTGGCCAACCTGCATCGACGTACTGCGGTGGTCCAGATGATGAATTCTCGTCACCCTCATTGTAACTATCTAACACATTCTCCTGCGGAGGGAGCTGGTAGGAACGTTGGGTTGCTCGGTCAATGGTCAGGGTCAACGGCGGACACCACGTGGTGGTGTATTCCGCACAATATGCCCGACTGTGAGGGCGGGCACAAGCCGGCGTGAGTAGGTGAAACGTTGAGTTTTATAAGGGCACCACGGGGTGACCAGCCCCTCCCCAACCAGCCCCATCCCTCCCCACCCAGCCCCACCCTACCCAGCCCCTCCCTCCCCACCCAGCCGCACTCCTCCCCACCCTCCCCCCACCCAGCCCCCACCCAACCCCTCCCCACCCTCCCCACCCAGCCCCTCCCCACCCTCCCCCCACCCTCCCCTCCCCACCCAGCCCCTCCCCACCCAACCCCTCCCCACCCTCCCCACCCAGCCCCTCCCTCCCCACCCAGCCCCTCCCCACCCTCCCCTCCCAGCCCCTCCCTCCCCACCCTCCCCACCCAGCCCCTCCCCACCCTCCCCTCCCCACCCAGCCCCACCCCTCCCATTTTTGGATGCACGACGGACGGACGGACACAATAATCCCCCGTGGGCTGGTGGTGTAGTAACCGGGAGGTTCCTACACAGTAAAACTTCATGTATATTAATTTAAAAGTAAGGTTTATTTAAACAGGAATGAACATGTAGAGAAAAATAATTTAGGGGTCAATTTGTATTTGGGTGTCACAAGACATGTGGTCCACAATGTGTACGACTCGATCAATAATTATTTATTTATATAAACCGTTCATGAGGGAACGTTGCAAAAATGTGAATCAGAATCTTTGACGTATGCTGGAGGAATCCGATGAGCTATAAAGCTCTTTTCCACAGACGTCTATACGATCGCCAGTCATCCTTATCCAGCGCAGTATAAAAGAGAATCGATCGCGTCAATCGAGGACGTCGATTCCGATCAGCAATATTAACCTTCGGCGAGGAGATGAATGGTTACGATTGGAACGTCTGCTATTGGAACGAGGGAGGCAGCGTGGCAGATGAAACAAAAATCCGTCGATAATTTATCTATATTCAGACGAGGCAGCATTGCAATAATTTAATAACAAACATACTCGATAGCCGGATCGAATCGAAGTCTGAAACAATACAAAGGATGAGTCAATGTTCGTGAACATAGCTTTGTCAACGGTGAGCGATTTAGATACGAATCTCATTGTGCGCGTGAAATGAAACGTATCGCTTCTTTTAAAACAAAAGTTAAATGGAGTGAAAGTGGTGCACGTATCGATGTAAGTGAACGTGTAGACAAATCGATTCGCAACAGACCAACAAAGTAGAATCGATTCCGAGTGCGCACTGGATCGATAACACGATGTAACAGTTTTTGTTCCTGGCTAGTAAGTGAGAGTTCCTAATTGCTTACGCCTCAAAAGTACAGATAGTGGTTATTATTATCATTATTCCCCCACGAACTTTGTTTTTGTGACCAGGACAGCGATATTTTGAAATGTACCGATTTTCAATGGGAAAACGTGCGAATGTGTGTGTCTGTTCGTTCACATGAAGTCAGCAAAAAACATCAAACATGCGAATCAAAATGACCACGCAATTACACTGAATTACTACAAAAATGACTAGACAAGAGGATATACTCTTAGCTCTTTCGGTAAAGTCACGTTGAAGGGACTTTACCGAAAGACCTAACAATATATGAATTTCGATTTAAAGATTTCGTGACTGCAATTAATCATCTTCTTTGGTTCTTTCGGTAAAGTCACGTAGAATGAGAATAAAATAATAAATTGATAAAATAAAATATTATTGTGTCACGTAGAATGAGAATAAAATAATAAATTGATAAAATAAAATATTATTGTGTTATTTTATTTTATCAATTTATTATTTTATTCTCATTCTACGTGACTTTACCGAAAGAACCAAAGAAGGATATATGAATTACCGCAGTTACGAAAGCCTTCCAATCAAAATGTAGACAAGAGCAGTTTGTCGAGATTGGTCCTCCCCACGGAGAACTCGGCTGTGCGTCGTGCACCTTGGTGGTCCAGAGTCGCCCCTAGGCTGCGGGATGCCCTCTGAGATATTTCAGAGATCTCTCCCCCCTCGACAGAGAGAGAGGCGGGGGAGGGGAGGGGAGGCTGTGGATACATCTTTTTAAATGCCTCTTAGAAACGTGTTTATATTCGGTTCCGACACTTTTAGTTTATGCTCACTAATTTGATCATTAAAATGTATTTATATTCTTATTAATTATTTTTTTGCTGAGTGGCTGCTGCTGCTGCTACTGCTGCTGCTGTGCCCTGTACAGCGCTTTGAGATCCTTGGATGAAAAGCGCCAATTGAATTTAATTATTTTTAATTATTATTCTTAATTATTATAATTATTATTCTTAATTATAATTATTATTCTTAATTATAATTATTATTCTTAATAATTACAATTATTGTTCTTAATTATTATAATTATTCTTAATTATAATTATTATTTATTATAATTATTATTCTTATTCTTCATTACTATAATTATTAATTATAATTTTTATTATTATGATTATACGAACGAGCGTGTCTGCTGTAGGCCAATCAATAATAAAAGACAATGCATAGATAATTAGTAGTATGAGAGCATATTTTTTGCATGTTCACAAGTACTGTGTGTGTGGTGAATGCAGTAACTCGGTTTCTTGCTCAAGGTCTAATCCATTTGGTGTTTCAACATCTTAACCGCGTCTCCTGCTTCATTGCCAGATATGGTTAAATTAACTATTCTTATTTTTCATCACCTGTGGATGCAGGGCAAAAACCATGTGGGTCCCAATCCTATAGCTGTCAACCCGTAGGGTTCAGCCCGGATTCTTGTGCAGGGAAATTGAGTTTCCAGATCCATACAGCGCACAGCCGTTTCAATAGGGGCAACAAATATCAACATTTGTCTCTGTGTGTCTGTGTCTCTTCCTTGTGATGGGAAATTGTAGGATGCACGTCGAGATTTATAAGGGGCACGTGGTGACCGACGAGGTGTGAGTTGGTGTGTAACGAGGTGTGAGTTGGTGTGTAACGAGGTAGTCAGGGCACTGACGAGGTGTGAGTTGGTGTGTAACGAGGTAGGAATGACACTGACGAGGTGTGAGTTGGTGTGTAACGAGGTGTGAGTTGGTGTGTAACGAGGTAGTCAGAACACTGACGAGGTGTGAGTTGGTGTGTAACGAGGTGTGAGTTGGTGTGTAACGAGGTAGTAATGACACTGACGAGGTGTGAGTTGGTGTGTAACGAGGTATGAGTTGGTGTGTAACGAGGTAGTCAGGACACTGACGAGGTGTGAGTTTGTGTGTAACGAGGTGTGAGTTGGTGTGTAACGAGGTGTGAGTTGGTGTGTAACGAGGTAGTCAGGACACTGACGAGGTGTGAGTTTGTGTGTAACGAGGTGTGAGTTGGTGTGTAACGAGGTGTGAGTTGGTGTGTAACGAGGTGTGAGTTGGTGTGTAACGAGGTAGTCAGGACACTGACGAGGTGTGAGTTTGTGTGTAACGAGGTGTGAGTTGGTGTGTAACGAGGTGTGAGTTGGTGTGTAACGAGGTAGTCAGGACACTGACGAGGTGTGAGTTGGTGTGTAACGAGGTGTGAGTTGGTGTGTAACGAGGTGTGAGTTGGTGTGTAACGAGGTAGTCAGGACACTGACGAGGTGTGAGTTGGTGTGTAACGAGGTGTGAGTTGGTGTGTAACGAGGTGTGAGTTGGTGTGTAACGAGGTGTGAGTTGGTGTGTAACGAGGTAGTCAGGACACTGACGAGGTGTGAGTTTGTGTGTAACGAGGTGTGAGTTGGTGTGTAACGAGGTGTGAGTTGGTGTGTAACGAGGTGTGAGTTGGTGTGTAACGAGGTAGTAATGACACTGACGAGGTGTGAGTTGGTGTGTAACGAGGTGTGAGTTGGTGTGTAACGAGGTGTGAGTTGGTGTGTAACGAGGTAGTAATGACACTGACGAGGTGTGAGTTGGTGTGTAACGAGGTGTGAGTTGGTGTGTAACGAGGTAGTAATGACACTGGCGAGGTGTGAGTTGGTGTGTAACGAGGTGTGAGTTGGTGTGTAACGAGGTAGTAATGACACTGACGAGGTGTGAGTTGGTGTGTAACGGACACTGAGAATCGATTCGGTGGTGGCGATTTCACTTCGCCTCTGCGAGGGAATCGATTCGCACGCGTGGTCTGTGTGCGGCCTGGTGGTCGTGTTTGCGTGGTACTGGTGGTGATAGTGGTGGTGATAGTGGTGGTGGTAGTGGTGGTGGTGATAGTAGTGGTGGTGATAGTAGTGGTGGTGATAGTGGTGGTGGTTTTCGCGTGGTAGTGGTGGTGATAGTGGTGGTGGTGTTCGCGTGGTAGTGGTGGTAATAGTGGTGGTGGTAGTAGAGACGGTGGTGGTGGTGTTCGCGTGGTAGAGACGGCAGCGAGAGATGGCTTCGTCCCACGCCTCCACCCGCATCTCGTTCGGGCGAGACGCGGCGAGCGCGCCCGAGATCGCCAGCACCATGGACTCCGCGTCCAGGCAGGGGTGAGAGACGACACGCACCACCACACCACCACTACCACCACCACCACCACACCACTACCACCCCACTACCACGAACCACCACCACAACACCACCACCACCACCACAACACCACCACTACCACACCACCACACCACGCACCACCACACCACTACCACAACACCACATCACCACACCACGCACCACCACACCACCACAACACCACTACTACCACACCACCACATCACCACACCACGCACCACACCACCACCACAACACCACCACTACAACACTACACCACTACCACACCACCACATCACTACACCACTACCACACCACCACATCACCACACCACCACAACACCACGACACATCACCACCACCACGCACCACCACACAACACCACACGACACGAGGAGGATGACAAAGATCCACCCCCCCCTCTCTCTGAGGCCCCAAGTGCCGTTAGCGACTCTCCGTGGGTAGCGCGCCACTCATCACGGTGACACGCGGCAGTGGTGGTGGTGTTGGTGATGGTGGTGTTGGTGTTGGTGATGTGGTGGTGTTGGTGATGGTGGTGGTGATGGTGGTGGTGATGGTGTTGTGGTGTTGGTGATGTTGGTGGTGATGGTGGGGGTGATGGTGATGGTGGCGGTGGTGTTGGTGGTGGTGATGTGGTGATGGTGATGTGGTGGTGGTGTTGGTGATGATGATGTGGTGTTGGTGGTGGTGATGATGATGGTGGTGATGTGGTCAGTAGCACCGCTCCCGGCCGCCTTTGTCTCCCGCCTGACGATCTCGCCACACGCTGCAGGCCCCCCCCCCCCAGCCCAGCCTCGCTCGAGGCCCAGCGTCGCCGCCCTGGGCCGGGATCGAACTGGGGTCGCGGGTTGTTGTTGTTGTGGTGTTCATCCGCCACACCAGATACACCAGACAAAGATCCGCCGTGTAGCCTGCAGCAGACTGTCGGGGCAAGTGCCGCTAGCGGGCAGCGCCTACGAAGGCCGGGAGCGTGCCCACACACGAGGTGGCGTGAGTGGGTGGCCAGCACCACGCCTGGGGCCGCCTTTGTCTCACTTATACACCGCACAGGGGACTCATTTGAGGCCGAGTCGACCTAGGCGGGGAAGGGCCGCTACACCCACCGCACAGACAAAGGTGTCCCCGGTAGCACCACACACGGCGCTGCTGCTGATGGGGCAAGTGCCCGCCAGCGCCCACGGAAGGCCGCAACTGCGCACGTGGTCGCGGTGGCGTGGTCGGAGCCGCGCCCGGCCGCCTTTGTCTCCCCAGGTTCAGATATTAGCCCCTGGGTCGGGAATTGAACTTAGGTTGCCCTCCCGGGGGGCGGAGATCGTAGTGCGACTGCGCGAACCGCGGTACCACCGCTCCCCCTAGACGTGGGCATGCACGCAGAGTGATGTCTATCAATATAAGCGCCCAATGTTATATAACAATACAGTCGGTGTGTGGTGTGCGTCCAGAGGATAGGCGTCGTTTGTGGTCAGCGAGTTGTGGATTTTAGTGTGCGGGAGAAGGGAATCGCGGATTCGTGTTTGATGAATGAATGAATGCGTGGGGCTTCGAGTGTATTGGGGTGCAGGAGAATGAATGGAATTGGATCGGTGAATGAATGAATGCATGGGTGTGTTAGTATCTATTGGGGGTGTTGGTGGAATTAATTAATGTATGGGATTAGTTTTGGTGAATGAATTAATGCGTGAGTGTATGGATTGTTGTGTAGGTCGACTCAGCCTCAAATGAGTAGTACCTGGTGCGGTGTGTAGTAAACATCGCCACTGGGGAGACAAAGGCGGCCGGGCGTGGTGCTGGACACCCACCCCCTCGTGTGCCGTGCCGGCCTTCATAGGTGCTGCTACTCGCTAACCGCACTTGCCCCTACAGTCTGTTAAGGCTATTCGGGGAATCTTTGTTCTTTTGTTGTTGTGTAGGTGAATGAATGAGTGCAAGTGAATGGATGCATGGATTGTTGTGTAGGAGATTGTATGGATGATGCAGGTAAATTAATGAGCGCATGGGTGTGTGAGTCATTGTGTGCAGGAGAATGAATGCATTTATAACGTGGGTGAATGAATGTATGGAATGGTGTGTGTGTAGGATTGGTATGCGTGAGTGAATGAAAGAATATATGAGTGGGTGTGTAATTGCATGAATTAATGCCGTAGGTTCAGCGAATGCATTCATTCATGCATGGGCCAATGAGCGAATGCATGGATGTGCTGAATGAATGGGCGTGGTTGAATGAATTAATGCATAGGAGAGTGAATGATTGAGTGTGTGGGTGAGTGAATGTGTGAGTGACTTAATGCATTGGCGTGTGAGTGAATAAATGAGTGTATTGGGTGTGTGTGGAAGTGTATGGATGCATAATATCAAATTCTGAACCTCGTTATCTACATAAAATAGCGTGCTATATTTCTTAACGATCGATTCCTGTAAATTATGCGGCCTTAAAATTGTACAAAGCAGACGAACACGAGGATGTAAACGAGAGACAAAGACAACAACAAAAAACTACAACACAACCAAAACATCGACGCAACCAAAACATCGACACAACAAAAACAACGGCATCGATTCGTGAAGTCAATAGCGCGACCCAAATCAAGCGCGACCCAAATCAAGCGCGACCCAAATCAAGCGCGACCCAAATCAAGCGCGACACCTCGGGAACACGGACGGACAACGCTTTACTTCCCTCGTTTTTGGCTTTGACGGTCGTCAGTTCCCGTGGCTGGACGGCGACACTTGGTGTATCGCATCGCTTCCTCCCGGGAGTTCCGACCAAGGCGTTGGGACAACTGCCGCTAGTTGAGGCCGCAGCCGCCAGGACGCTCACGCGAGAACCTCCTTCCCGCGAGCACGTCATGCCGCGATAATACAAATCTCTGTATTGGCTGCCAATGAAATTTAGGGTCGAATTCAGAACAAACAAACAAAAGTTGCCGCTCGCATTCAAGGGCCCTCGAACGGCCTTGCGCCGTTTTTACATTCAACGGCCGAGTCGGTCGCACCTCACCGTCGCGTGCCGACAATCAGACGATGCACCTGGGGTGACCGAGACTGCCATGCACCGCGCCGAGGCTACGGAAGGCCCTGCCGCCTGTGGCCAGACAGGCGCGGTCGGTCACCTTGTGTGTCGGTCTTCCCTACTAAGGACTCGCCTATCTCGCCTGGCCGCGCCACACATACCCACGTAACACCCGGTGGACTCTGCGGTGCTCGTATCTCATAGCTTCGTGCGTGGCGCACTGCGATCCTGGGATGAATTGCGCCTTGTACACGTCAACTATTGCATGCCACCCCCGCACCTACGGCCGAATTGGTTCCTGCACGACGCTCATGAGTGGAGCCGTTGTGAATCCAGCCCCTTCGTTCCCACAGGGGGGAGCAATGTTATGCATTGGGGTTTTGTTCCTGGAAAAAAATCATTACGAACCATAAAAATACCAGAATTGACCACGAAAATACATTTAAATAACCCTAACAAACATTTATTGTAACTTTACATAACCCTTACAAATATTTATTAAGTGAAGACAAACACATTGGAAAAATCCTAAAGTACCATATTTTCCCGCATATAACCCGCGGGGTATACCACTTTATACAAACAAAACAAGACCCTGCGGGGTATATGGAGGTGCGGGCTATCCCAAAAATATTTTACACGTGTGACATGTCATAACTCGTAAAAAGATTTAATGGTAGGACTATCCACTATGCAACACCTACCTTTGACTAAAGCACTGCTGAATAAACCACTCGCACCAAAATTGCACATGTTATCACTTTTTAAGTTATTCGAATTGTTTGTACAATGAAACGACAATGTTTGAATTGGGCGCACTTTGTTTACCGTAACACTCTCAGTGGCTGTAGGGGGGTGCGAATGTTTCAGCCGAGGCTACGGATTGCACAATGGGAAGGGCCTTAACAAGCGTCTACCAGACGCGGAATCATAATTGCTGAGTCCCTCAGGCCGCTGCTATTGGCTGAGCAATATACAGTCGCGACCATGAGCTTTGTTGCAAACTTCCAATGGCTTTGTTGCCAGGAGGCAATGGCGTTACAGTAGTGCCGCTATTGTCTGCGCAGTGCGCAATCTACCAGTGCTAAAACTGTACAGGGGTAATTACCGGTCCAGTAGCTGTAATATTATGAGGTCGAATGCCGATAAGCCTAACAGTACGCTGACTTATCTACCAGTTATGTGTTGCTTATTTATTGTGTATTTACTTTTGTTACTTATTTACTGTTACTTATTTACTGTTACTTATTTACTGTTTCTGGTTAGTTTATCTTTGTGCACGTTATGATTTTAATGTTAACAATTGAAAGTGGAATGTATTACAAATGTCAACTTCGTAATAATATGATGGAATTAAGCTGCGGTAACGACGTTAAAGATATGAATGCATGCGGGGTATATGGAGGTGCGGGCTATCTGAAATTTGTTTTACACAAAACGCTATTTGTTCGGGGTATATGCGCTTGCGGGCTATATGCGTATGCGGGCTATATGCGGGAAAATACGGTACTTTTCTGCGTCACATTTCCTCTTATCAGACGTAGCGAAAGGCGAAAATTGTTCAAAATTTTAAGACAATTTACAAAGCAGTGAAGAGCGTTGAGCAAGAGACGCCGCTGCGTTCGCTGTCGGCGCAGCTGCAGACTGTCGGGCTCCACCGTTACACACGCACACGGCGGGAGAGCAAAGCAGTGCCATCAGGCGCCGAGTTTGTGCATGACGTGTCGCCTATATACTACACTATACACTACACTATACACTACACTATACACTACACTATACCCTGCACTATACACTACACACGCACACGGCGGGAGAGCAAAGCAGTGCCATCAGGCGCCGAGTCTGTGCATGACGTATCGCCTATATACTACACTATGCACTACACTAAACACTACACTATACACGCCACTACTATACACTACACTACTACTCTACTAAATATTACGCTATATACTATACACTACGAAACACGACACTACTATACACTACCATTATACACTACACTATGCACTACTATACACTACTACTCTACTAAATATTACACTATATACAATACACTACGAAACACGACACTACTATACACTACCATTATACACTACACTATGCACTACTATACACTACCATTATACACTACAACATGCACTACTATACACTACACTACTACTCTACTAAATATTACACTATACTATACACTACGAAACACGACACTACTATACACTACTATACACTACACTATGAACTACTATACACTACACTACTACTCTACTAAATATTACACTATATACTATACACTACGAAACACGGCACTACTATACACTACTATTATACACTACACTATGCACTACTATACACTACACTACTACTCTACTAAATATTACACTATACTATACACTACGAAACACGACACTACTATACACTACCATTATACACTACACTATGCACTACTATACACTACCTACAAGTGTGCGCATCACATGCGCACATTCGTAGGTAGCAGTCGTGAGCCGGTTGTAGATACGAGTTTTGATCGTTACTGTGGGGGTCTCGCTCACTATAAGAAAGGTCGTAATGTTGGGGGGGTCAACTTGAGCCGTCGTAAGTCGGGGGTCACCACGACCCTCGGAAGGAATGGCGACAGCCCCCCCCCCCACGATGAAACAAATCAGTGGAGAGGCCGGCGTGTGGCAGCGAGAGCCGTCCATGCAAGGGGTCGCACGTTTTGCGGTGATGAATGATGGCCGGAGCAAGAATTTGTGCGTTTGAAAAACCGAAAGCGAAAATGGATTTTCCCATTAATTGAATAACCTATAAATCAGGGATGTGTGGGGTTTTTTTTTTTTTCGGACAGTCTTTCTAACTCCACAGTTTCAAAATAGACACAGATATTAATTTTCGGCATAAAAAAATAACAGCAAAGAACATGAATATTGAAACGATTAAATTGCTAAAATTTTAAACTGAAATAATTAAGTTTTCAGGGAAGATTGTGCACGTTGGGAATGGCCTCGACAGGGTTCACCTCTGGTCGAGGCCCCTCCACCAGCAGCGGCGCTAGCGGGGGAGCCTGCGGGGCTGTGCCTTTAACCCCCCCCCCTTCCCGTGACGCCCCCACCCCCGTGTGTTCAGCTTCGACTTTGTGTGCGTGCCGCTCGTCCACCCGCGGCAAAAGCGCGAGGCGCTGGTGGAGCCCGGCAAGTCCCGGGCCGGCCCGCTCACCCGCTCCGACCTGCTGCTCGCCAACCAAGGTGAGGCCCGAGCCGGACTGCGGTGACATTCTGGCTGCCCCCACCCACCGCTCCCACTGCCACTGTGGCTACAGTGGCTCCCACCACCACTGCTCCCACCACCACCACCGCTCCCACCACCACCACCACCGCTCCCATCACCACCGCTCCCACCACCACCGCTCCCACCACCACCACCGCTCCCATCACCACCACCACCGCTCCCACCACCACCACCACCGCTCCCATCACCACCGCTCCCACCACCACCGCTCCCATCACCACCACCACCGCTCCCATCACCACCACTACCGCTCCCACCACCACCGCTCCCACCACCACCACCGCTCCCACCACCACCGCTCCCACCACCACCGCTCCCATCACCACCACCACCACCGCTCCCACCACCACCACCGCTCCCATCACCACCACCATCGCCACCACCACCACCGCTCCCACCACCACCACCGTGACTGCGGTGTCTATGCCCCCCACCACCATAAATCAGAGAGTCCCCACTGCTTGCTTCTAGTAAACTATTTTAGATATTACCGGGCAAGGCCCACTGGCCATCACAAACGATAGCTCAACGAAGTGGCTTATCATCATCACGTGGAAATTTATAGCAGTAGTCACATACTCTACACGCGTGTCGCCGATTTTAAATGTGGAGGGAAAAACCGGAGGACCCTGAGACAACTCCACGCAACCACGGACAGAGAGACACGCACACTCCAAATATACAGCAGCAGCAGGCGTCGGCAGGGTTGGGATCGAACCCACGACTTCCTGCATACCAGGCAAGGTAGTTAACATCTCCTAGCTACCGTGATGATGATGAGAGAGAGACGCAAACTCCAAATATACAGCAGCAGGCGTCAGGGTCGGGATCGAACTTACGACCTCCTGCATACCAGGCAAGGCAGTCATCATCTCCTAGCTACCGTGATGATGATGAGAGAGAGACGCAAACTCTAAATATACAGCAGCAGCAGGCGTCAGGGTCGGGATCGAACCCACGACTTCCTGCATACCAGGCAGGGTAGTCAACATCTCCTAGCCACCGTGATGATGATGATGAGAGAGAGACGCAAACTCTAAATATTCAGCAGCAGGCGTCAGGGTCGGGATCGAACTTATGACCTCCTGCATACCAGGCGAGGTAGTCAACATCTCACCACCATATTAGGAGTGGTGCCCCCCCCCCCCCACCTTGTTCCTGCTGCTGTGTGAGTCGCCTTGATGTGGTGCGCCACGGCGCTTCAACTCGCACCTCGCAGCAAGCACGGTGCTGGGTTTGTTTGCCGGGACCTGGTATTGGCCAAAACATCTCAATGCTGAAAAAAAAGTAACTGCAACATTGACTCAATTGGGGGTCGCACACAGCAGCGGCAGCATCAGCAGCATGGCCCTCTTACTGCGAAAACTTGGCAGGACCCTCGTGAACACGTGGTCTTGAGACTCCGCGAGGCTTTCCCTGGGTGAACCAGCGAAATGATAATCATATGCAGCCCCCTCCCCTGTCCTCCTACGCAAATAAACATTCACTAATTGGCTAATACCACCATAGGGCAGTGTTGTTCACTAATTGGCTAATAACACCACAGGGCAGTGTTCTTCACTAATTGGCTAATACCACCATAGGAAAGTGTTCTTCACTAATTGGCTAATAACACCATAGGGCAGTGTTGTTCACTAATTGGCTAATAACACCATAGGGCAGTGTTGTTCACTAATTGACTAATAACACCATAGGGAAGTGTTGTTCACTAATTGGCTAATAACATCATAGGGCAGTGTTGTTCACTAATTGGCTAATAACACGATAGGGCAGTGTTGTTCACTAATTGGCTAATAACACCATAGGGCAGTGTTGTTCACTAATTGGCTAATAACACCATAGGGCAGTGTTGTTCACTAATTGGCTAATAACACCATAGGGCAGTGTTGTTCACTAATTGGCTAATAACACCACAGGGCAGTGTTCTTCACTAATTGGCTAACAACACCATAGGGCAGTGTTGTTCACTAATTGGCTAATAACACCATAGGGCAGTGTTGTTCACTAATTGGCTAATAACACCATAGGGCAGTGTTGTTCACTAATTGGCTAATAACACCATAGGGCAGTGTTGTTCACTAATTGGCTAATACCACCATAGGGCAGTGTTGTTCACTAATTGACTAATAACACCATAGGGCAGTGTTGTTCACTAATTGGCTAATAACACCATAGGGCAGTGTTGTTCACTAATTGGCTAATAACACCATAGGGCAGTGTTGTTCACTAATTGGCTAATAACACCACAGGGCAGTGTTGTTCACTAATTGGCTAATACCACCATAGGGCAGTGTTCTTCACTAATTGGCTAATAACACCATAGGGCAGTGTTCTTCACTAATTGGCTAATAACACCACAGGGCAGTGTTCTTCACTAATTGGCTAACAACACCATAGGGCAGTGTTGTTCACTAATTGTCTAATAACACCACAGGGCAGTGTTCTTCACTAATTGGCTAATAACACCACAGGGCAGTGTTCTTCACTAATTGGCTAATAACACCATAGGGCAGTGTTGTTCACTAATTGGCTAATACCACCATAGGGCAGTGTTGTTCACTAATTGGCTAATAACACCATAGGGCAGTGTTCTTCACTAATTGGCTAATAACACCACAGGGCAGTGTTCTTCACTAATTGGCTAATAACACCATAGGGCAGTGTTGTTCACTAATTGGCTAATACCACCATAGGGCAGTGTTGTTCACTAATTGGCTAATAACACCATAGGGCAGTGTTCTTCACTAATTGGCTAATAACACCATAGGGCAGTGTTCTTCACTAATTGGCTAATAACACCACAGGGCAGTGTTGTTCACTAATTGGCTAATAACACCATAGGGCAGTGTTCTTCACTAATTGGCTAATAACACCATAGGGCAGTGTTCTTCAGAGGGGGGTCGAGGTCCGCCTCTGATTTGAAACCACTGAGGGTTTGACAGCAGCAGCACGCTGATGATGGGGGGTGTTTTCACTTTTGTGTAATATTGGGGGCCGCACTAAAGGCCACCAGGGGCTGCCAGTGGCCCCTCTCGGGCCTTGCAATGAAGAGCGCTGCCTCACTATATGGAGGACTGCAGAGCTTGGGCGATTGTTGGCGGCGTCGGCTCACAAGCGTGGCTGCCTTGTCTGTGGTTCCTCCTTCTCCTGGCGCCTCTGAGTCGTCGTACCCCCCCCCACCTCTTCTGTTACGAGACTGGAGACGAAGGGCAGCTGTGGGGACGCGCAGGGGGTCCCCCCTGCTCGTCGTCACGGTTACCGTCCTTTGCGAGCGTCGGTCCCCCCTGCTCGTCGTCACGGTTACCGTCGTTTGCGAGCGTCCGGTCTCCTTCGCCCGTTGCGTTTTCCTTCGTGCGGGTTTATGACGTGCCCGCTCTGCGCCCACCGCTGCCTTTGTGTTGCAGACTGGGGCAGCCTGGTGGTGGGGAAGCTGTCACCGTGGCTGCAACCGGATTCCGAAGTGGAGTACGTGCGGAAGAATTCGGAGGCTGTAAGTCGTCGTCGTTCGCTTCCAGAGACGCGGTGCCGAGCGTGGAAAAGTAGGCCGAGCACCTCGCCTGGAGGGGGTCCTCTGGAGCTTCGTCTACAGTAGAGGCCTGTCCGCCAGCAGTGGCTTGAGCCAGTAATTGCAGGGCCGCACTTTCACCTTTAAAATCAGCGGTATAGGTCTCCCCCGGGCTCTGCGCGGTAGTAGATGCATTTCAAATTAAACTGGCACGCAAAGCGAAACGCACGAGGAGACAGCCGCCTGCCGAGTAGCGCGCGCAGTGCACAACGCAGTGCACACGATGCACGCAGTACACGCACGGTACACACACGGTGCACAATCTTGTCCCACTTCCGACCGCCACAGCTGCGTCCGAGCGAATTCAAAAACCGCGCGCGGCGAATGTTGGCTCGAAATAGGGGAGCGAACCGAACCCGCTTAGGGGCGCGTTGCGAGACCTGTATTTGTTTCGGCTGGCTGCGCGCGCGCGCGTGTGTGTGCGTGTGTGTGTGCGTGTGTGTGTGTGTGCGTGTGTGCGCGTGTGTGCGTGTGTGTGTGTGTGCGTGTGTGCATGTGTGTGCGCGTGTGTGTGCGCGTGTGTGTGTGTGTGCGTGTGTGTGTGTGTGCGTGTGTGCGCGTGTGTGCATGTGTGTGCGCGTGTGTGCATGTGTGTGTGCGTGTGTGTGTGTGTGTGCGTGTGTGTGTGTGTGTGCGTGTGTGTGTGTGTGCGCGTGTGTGCATGTGTGTGCGCGTGTGCGCGCGCGCGATGGACTCCAGATTGGTCACTAAGCCCGAGCCTCCGTCCGGCACCAACACTCGCCGCCCCCCGCACGCGACAGAATCCGGGTTGCCGACCAGAAACCGTCCGGGAATCGTTCCGTTTGGACCGTCGCGGAGAGCGGCGTAGCGGGGGCTGCGGTTCCGCCCTGGGGGGGTCTTTACTCTTGGACCGCGAGTCCGCGCGTTGCTAGGTTTGTCATCCGCGCGGGCCGTTGAGGATTCCACGCCTCCCCGCTCGCCGTGCCGTCGAGCGCGTCCGCCGGCTCCCGCGCCGAGCGAACTTGGCGGTGCGAAGCGACGCGCCGATGCACGTAGAGACGAGGGGGGGGGGGGGGTCGCTCATCGGTGGGTCGCTCCCAGCTGTGACGCACGGATCGGAAGGCTCTGACGTACGTGCGCGTACCCAAGTTCTTTTAGCGCCGGCACGTGGCCAAACCGTGCCAGGCGCCGGCAAAGGAGAGGGCGGCGCGGACGCTGAAGAGCGCGCAGGGAAGCACGGAGAGAGGCCGCTCGGCTTGGAGTCGCGCCGATGGGGCTAACAACTTAAGTAAAATTGACGAAAAGGCTCCGTTTGAACGCACGAGCGATCCGATGCGGGTGCCATGATCCAGCCGAGAAACCCAATTTCATTATCCAAACAAATTCCGCGATCCTGCTGTGTTGGCAGCGGCGCACAGCGAACAATACGACTCAACACGCTCGTCAATAACAACACTGGGGCCTTAAAAGAAAAAAAAGGTGTGCTGTAATCGCCGACGTTTCGGGCAAAGGTCCTTCTTCATGGCACGTGATTCACATTTTTACAAATGTATTTTGTAATCAAACGGCACGGTGTGAACAAGTGCAGGCCTCCAACGCGTAATGTCCACTCCGTCTCTCTCCTGGCCTCTCTGTGCATCTGCCATGGAGAAGGGCCGTTGCCCGAAACGTCGCCCGTTATATATTTTTCATTTTAAGGCCGCGCGCAGCTGTTGTTGTTGGCGTTGAGAGACGCGCCGAGGAGTTCTGCTGCCGACGCGGCAGCACCGGCAGCAGCACCGGCAGTGGCAGCAGCGGCGTCGCCGAGTGATTTGCAACTGCTGACAATCGATGTGGGCTGGACAACAAGGGAACAATCAAAGTGTGGTGGTGGTGTTGTCGGCGTTGTAAGGAATCGGAAAGAGAGGTAGACTCTTAACAGGGAGATTGGCTTGACGATGATGACGCCGCCGGCGACGTGAGAGATTGGTGCCAGAAACATTGGCACAAGACGGAGAGGGAGGTGGAACCAAACGATGTAATGCGCACTGGACACCTACGTTGGGGGCCTGTCTGCCCGCGGATCGGTGATCGATGTGAATCGGTACGAATCGACTCGTCCGTTACACGCCCCCCTGCCGCTGCCTCGCCTCCCCCACCGGGAAGGACAGGACACGGCAGATGACATCGCCGCTCTCTCCTCTTTGCCCTTCTCAGCCCGAACCCCTTTCAAATTGGCTGACAGCTGCTCACCAGCGCGCCCCGTTAATCGTCGTTATCGCGAAAGCTGCCGTGTTCGCGTGCCCGAAAGCTATCGTCGGGGAAATTCTCGGCGAGCTAATCTCCTCCCGGCCGGCTGTCGGCCAAGCCGGGATAATGGCGCTGGTGTGTGCATGTGTGTGTGTTAAAAAAAAATTTGTTAAATATTTTTCTTGACGCACACCACCCTCCCCCCCACAACCCGACCGCTAATTGGCATCGCGTCGTCACGAGTCAAAAGAATCCGCTCGGACCGTCGCTCGCAGAGCGGTGCGACCCCGCCTGTTCCAGAATGACCCGCGGAAGCGGATTCCGCAGGGCTACCCCTCGGGGATTCCCTGCGTCAAGGGGGCCTCTGGTCCCGCGCACAGAGCACAGGGAGGCAGCACTTTCATCGCCCCGCCCCCCCCCCCCGTGCACTGCCGTGTGTGAGAGAGAGAGAGAGAGAAAGAGTGAGGGGTCTTCCTTGGCGCGAAGGTCAAATGGAAAGGTTCATTCTCACGGCTCGAATTCGGCAAAACGTAGTTTCAGAGCCGGGTTTAACGTTGATGGGTTTTTTGTTTTGTTTGTGGTCATTGATGATCGGGCTGAGACCATCAATGTCCGACGCTTGAGGACGTGGTGTAACCACGGACGGCTGCCTGGATTCGAAGCCAGATCCCCAGTGGTGCGCTGTTTTTTTTTTCACCAAGCCTCCGTAAGTTTGTAAATCTGCCTCTCTGCGTTGGTGTGTTTTTGGGTTTTTTTTTAATCCTGTAGATGTCGAGCGTTTAATGTCGTCGTTTGTCAGTGCGAGTTTGGGGCGAGTGTCGTTGAGTTAACTGTGAATGTCTCCGGGCTGTCCCCACGGAGATCAAACCCGCGACCTCGTGCATACCAGGCGAGGGAGTTAACATCTCTTAGCCACCCTGATGATGATGATGATGATAAAAGAAACGCAAACTCTAAATATACAGCAAGCGGAAGGGTCGGGATCGAACCCCGCGACCTCGTGCATACCAGGCGAGGTCATTAACACCTCCTAGTAACCGTGGCGCCCCTCTTCCGCAGGCCTTGATCCAGGAGCTGAACTTCACGGCCTACTTGAGTCTTCCAGCGGTGGTCATCCCGCTGACTCAGGCCGACAACAGCAACCTGGCACACATCCTCATCAACCACATCCAGAAAGGCCACCACAGCCAAGCGGTGAGACGCTACAAGAGCAAGACCAAAAAGATGCCCCGCGTAGCCTTAACAGACTGTTGGGGCGAGTGCTGTTAGTCGGCACTGGCACACGAGGGAGTGGGTGGCCAGCACCGCACCCGGCCGCCTTTGTCTCCCTGGTGGCGATTTTTTTTTTTTTTTTACACACGGCACCAGGTAACTCGTATGAGGCCGAGTCGACCCAGGGGGAGACCCGGGACCGGTTCAGGTAATCGTCATCGGTTGTCGGTGGCCGTGAGCGGGAAACGAACCCGGAACGGCGGGTTCGTAGCTCGGCGCGCTAAGCGCCGCGCCGCTCCCCCGCTACGTTACCCCCTGCGTGCGTGCCCACACACACAAACACGCACGCACGCGCGCACACACGCACAAACACGCACACACGCGCACACATGCGCACAAACACGCACACACGCACAAACACGCACACACGCACAAACACGCACACACGCGCACACACGCGCACACACGCGCACACACGCGCACACACGCATGGGCGCAGGCTTCTCGAACTAAATTTCCCACGTAAAAATAAATTACTCGGATGGGACTACACGCGGCGACGGCGGCAATCACCGCAGCCCCTACCGGCAGCCCGGCCCCGCCGCCCGTTGGTCAGGCCACGTGCCGAAGGCGGGGCGCCGTGCGCCCACGGGGAACGACTGCCGCCCCGGTTATTACCGCAAGGCCGTGGACGCCGAAACGACGCCAGAACCGCCGTCCGCTTCGCCCGGTGGCCCCGGACGTTTAAAAGATGCCGTGGACGCCAGGGCAGGCCGGCGTGTGCCGGCGCCAGGCCTCCACGTCTTGCCAAATTTGAACATTTTACTTGCGCTGCCAATTGACTTGATTCGGGATCACCCGCGCGCGCAGCGGTCGTCAGAAAGGCGCCCGGGTCGGTGAATCGAACCCAGCCCCTTCCCGCTGTGGGGCACGAGCGTCACCTGCCGACTCAATTCTTGAGAACCGCTTTTTGTGTTAGCTTGTTGTGCTTCCCCCGCCATCTCCGTTTAGCGCGGGTGACTACGTAGGGCGCGGAAGAAGTTCAACAAACGTATATCACTGCAGTGACGATACATCCACCCTGCTAAAACGAGGCTCCCTCCCCTCCTTTCCCTCCGTCCCTCCCCTCCGCTCCCTCCCTCTCCTCTCCCCCCAGTTCTGGATCCGCGTCCCCCTGGTCTCCGCGGCTGACGAGGTTGACGAAGTGGTGGACGATGACGACGGCAGCGACGGCAGTGGCGGCGCCGGCGGCAAGGCCGGAGAGCTCAAAGGCCCCACCGAACCCCAGGACACCTGGGCCTGGTAACGCTCGCTACGGGCCCCGCCTGTGCGCGAGTTGGCGGAGGAGCGCAGGACGAGGGGGGGGGGAGGAGGAGGCCGAAGTGGGGTCGGGAGGAGGGCTGGGAGGCGGTGGGGTGTGTTCGTCACTAGACTTTTTAGGGCGCGCTGCCGCGTTGTGATGACGGCACGCAGCCCAATACAAACAAACGGTCGCGATCGAAACTATTTGAGCTATTTAAACTATATTTTATTTTACCAGGTAAGGCCCACTGAGCTATACAGCTCTTTTTCAGGAGACCTGGCCATCACAAATGATAGCCCAACAAAAAGTGGCTTATTATCATCATCATGCGAAATTTTACAGCAGCCAGATACACTAAACGCGTGACGTTGCTTCTAAATGTGGAGGGGAAAACCGGAGGACCCGGAGAAAAATCCACGTGGGGCCAAGGGGAGAGAGACACGCAAACTCCAAATATGCAGCAGGCGTCAGGGTCGGAATCAAACCCATGACCTCCTGCATACCAGGCGAGGGAGTTAACATCTCCTAGCCACCGTGATGATGATGAGAGAGAGACGCAAACTCAAATTATACAGCAGCAGGCGTCAGGGTCGGGATGTAGCCCACGAGCTCCTGCACACCAGGCGAGGGAGTTAACATCTAGCCACCACGCCCACTTTTGCGAGATGAGGCCTTCCCAGCTGAGCCTCATCGTGTCTTCTCTGTTTACCCCCCCGCCCCCAACCCACAGGTGGAACAGCTTCCGGTCTCTCTGCGACTACAACAAGCGCATCTCTCTGGGTGAGCGGCCGGAAGATGGCAGGACGTGCGCCTGCCCGCACGTGAAGCGTCGTGCCCTCTGTTGGCTACGGCAAGACACGTAGATTAAGGAAATAAGAAAACTCACCGCGGCCTTGACGGTTAGCGCGCTGGACTTGCGGTTCAGAGGTCACCGCGGTCGGTATCCGCTGTGGCGTGGCAGTCAAATCATTTGGCAAGCTTTTTGTCAGGTTCACTCCACTGCTATCCGCCTGCCTGTATTCGTGGGTAACACCACAGTTAGTCCGTGGGCAGGCAGGACAGAGTTTGGTAGTCTCACTGAACTGACTAAACTTTTCCCGCACCTCCCATTATCGCGGTTGGCTACGGAAGGTGTGAAAGAAGTTCAACATTCATACGTACATTCCAAGAGGCCTGGCCAGTGTGGAAGAGTAGGCCAAAACACCCGCTAATAACCAACTGCGATTGAACACCGATGCGTCGTTGCGTGCAGCAGACGCGGTGCAGTGTTGTGTGCGTGGACAACAGCTGTCTGCGTGTGAAGCCGGTAAAGTGTGGACCCGATCAGCGTTAGCTTAGCAATTTGTCAAATTCATGTGAGCGGGAAATCACTCTGGCGTTCACTTGAGAATGAGTAAAATTAAGGAAGCCATGAGAGAGAGGGCGCCACGGTGGCTAGGAGATGTTGACTACCTCGCCTCGTACACAGGAGGTCGTGGGTTCGATCCCGACCCCGACGCCTGCTGCTGCTGCTGTATATTTGGAGTCTGCGTGTCTCTCTCCACGTGGTCGCGTGGATTTTTCTCCGGGTCGTCCGGTTTTTCCCTCCACATTGAGAATCGTGGCGATACATTTCCACGTGATGATTCACCACTTAATTGAGCAATGATTTGTGGTAGCCAGGTCGCTTCTGAAAAAGAGCTGCATAGCTCAGTAGGCCTTACCTCCTAGTAAAATAAAAAATGGTTTAGTTTCATAACACCGGTGTGTTGGACAAATCTCTCGACATTGAGATGGGTAGTCGACCAGTGGTGCTGCTGAAGCTTGCTCATCACACGACAGCTTTATTAACCCTTTCCATTCCGGTGACGTACGTGTACATCGTCAAAACTAAACCGGAAGGAAAAATAAACTAGCTTTGTCGGTATCGAGGCTCCCACAAGGCCGTGCGGCAGGGCGCGTGGCACAGTTTAGCGCCAGCAGTCGTAGAGTGGGGCGGCGGCCATGTCGCTACGGTTCAAATGTCTTCATAAACAACGGCGCTGCTGCTGCTGCTGCTGCTGCGCCTCTGAAGTGAAATTTAACACCGAGCCACTCTCAACGCTTCCCAAGATTCAGCGGTGAACGGGAGACACCCACACCCTGTCACGGGAACCGGAGAGGATTAATTGACAGTGTCGGGCGGAGGAGGGTGTACGACGCACATTTTACTTGCGTGATCTGACCCAAAAAAATAATAATGCAACGTGAATCATACGTTTGGCCGCGTAAGCCGACTGCTCTGCGTTAAATCTATTTCGTACGCAATCCAGCGGCGCCACGGCCCCGTCCGAGAAGCGCACACGGCCAGCGGAATTGCATTTGGCGCAAGCGAAAGAAAAACCCGGCAAACAACGACCTCCTGACCGGTTTCGACATTCAGTGTCTCGCCAGCAGGGTCGGCCTCGCTCGAATTCGGCGCACGCCTTAACCGGCGGATGTTAATATTTTTATTGCACGCGCGGCTTCACTGTCGGCGCCGCTCCCCGTCTCCTCGCACAGCCCTGGAGCTGTCGGCCGACCTGCCGAGCGAGGAGGTGATCCAGAAGTGGCTGGGCGAGCCGATCAAGGCGGTGGTGCTGCACACGAGCACCTTCCTTACCAACAAGAAGGGCTTCCCGGTGCTGGCGCAGGCGCACCAGCTGCTCGTCTTCCGCCTCTTCAAGGTGCGCCGCGGGAGCCGCCTCGATTATCGCCAGACGGAAACGCAGACCGCGGCGCGAACTTCCTGTCGTGCCGGCGGTGGCGGCGGCGGTTTTGACTCGGCTGTCGGAACAAAGACGGCGGTCACCGCCGCATCGCGCGGCGCTTTCGGAGAGACGCGCTACTGGCGGCCGTCTGGAACGCTCTTCCTTTACGATATTAGGAGCGCACTCGGAGCTACGCATTTTATTTTATAAAATCGTCGTCCAGATTTACAAACTCCTTGCGCTGTATACGTGACGCGAACACAATCGACAGGGGTGCGTGCAATCGACAGGAGGTACAAATCTGGCTGTCGCCTGATGAAGCTGGTTGTAATTACTGGCGAAACGTCGTACTCAGATTGTGAATGTTGTGGCTTGGCTCTCCAACACACCGGTGTTGCTGTACTAGTGACAAATTGGCCACGTTCTGTTTACGTGACAACCCTTACTAGTTGGCTGTGTCGGGTGGTGGCGGGGTTTAATGACACATTTAGATATTTATGCGATCTAACCCAAAAAAAACCTACATTGTCGGTGACGCAAACACCAAATGTCCACAATATTTATTTATTTTATCCTGGAGGAAATCCGATGAGCTGTGAAGCTCTCGTTCACAGACGTCTTGCTCCCTCGCTGGGCACTAGGCCACGTCGCCACCCGTCCCGGTGCTGATGGCAGCGACGGCGATCGGGGTGTCACGGTGGCTAGGAGATGTTAACTCCCTCGCCGGGTGTACAGGAGGTTGTGGCCTACTGCAGCTGCTGCTGTATATTTGGAGTTTGCGTCTCTCTCTCATCATCACGGTGGCTAGGAGATGTTAACTCCCTCGCCGGGTGTACAGGAGGTTGTGGGTTCGACCCCGACGCTGACGCCTGCTGCTGCTGTATATTTGGAGTTTGCGTCTCTTATCATCATCACGGTGGCTAGGAGATGTTAACTCCCTCGCCGGGTGTACAGGAGGTTGTGGGTTCGACCCCGACGCTGACGCCTGCTGCTGCTGCTGTGTATTTGGAGTCTGCGTGTCTCTCATCATCACGGTGGCTAGGAGATGTTAACTCCCTCACCGGGTGTACAGGAGGTTGTGGGTTCGATCCCGATGCTGACGCCTGCTGCTGCTGTGTATTTGGAGTTTGTGTCTCTCTCTCTCATCATCATCACGGTGGCTAGGAGATGTTAACTCCCTCGCCAGGTGTACAGGAGGTTGTGGGTTCGATCCCGACGCTGACGCCTGCTGCTGCTGTATATTTGGAGTCTGCGTGTCTCTCTCTCTCATCATCATCACGGTGGCTAGGAGATGTTGACTACCTCGCCTGGTGTACAGGAGGTTGTGGGTTCGATCCCGACGCTGACGCCTGCTGCTGCTGCTGCTGTGTATTTGGAGTTTGTGTCTCTCCCTCGCCGTGGTCGCGTGGATTTTTTTCCGGGTTCCACTTTTAGAAACGGCGTCACGCGTTCAGAGTGTTTGGCCGCCGCCGCCACCGCTATAAATGGCCACCTAACGATGACGATGAGCCAACTTTCGTTGAGCTATCGTTTGTGATAGCCATCGCGACTGTTTGTGTTTGGCTGCGTGCCGTGCTCTCAACGCGCGCGGCGCCTCCCCCCTCCGCCCTCCTCAGCTGGACGTTCAGTTCATCATCTCGGGCATGAGCTGCCACTCGGACAAGGAGCTGCGCGCCTACATCCAGTACCTGCAGCACCTGTCCCAGCACCGCCCTCCGCCGTCAAACTACGACATCTTCTCCAAGGGTTATGAGGACTACCTGCAGTGTCCCCTCCAGGTGCCCCTCTCAGAACAGACGCGGGGCTGCCCCGGCTGCCCCGGCTGCCCCGGCTGCCCCGGCTGCCCCGGCTGCTCCGGCTGCCCCGGCTGCCCCGGCTGCCCCGGCTGCCCCGGCTGCCCCGGCTGCCCCGGCTGCTCCGGCTGCCCCGGCTGCCCCGGCTGCCCCCCCTGCGTTCGGCCGTGCAGGCCGCAGGCGTCGCTTGGAGCACTTTGCACCCTCGAGGGGAAAGTTTTATTGAGACTGTAGGAGGTGGAGGAGGAGGAATCCCATGAGCTGTAAAGCTCTTTCCCCCCCCCACCCCCCCACAGGGGGCATGGGGTGGTGGGGGGGGTCAGTAAGTTACAACAAACACAGTACAAAAACATGATAGGAGTGCAAAGTATAGGGAAGGTAAGCAAATCAGTAAATAAACTCCTTAGAAAAATTTAAACAACGGTTTTATTAACAACTTTGTTTATCTCACGGTCGAGAAGTAGCGTCAGTGGCGCCTGAGACACGTGCCATCTGCTTTGTGTGAGTCTGAGACACGTGGCACCTGCTTTGTGTGTGAGCCTGAGACACGTGGCACCTGCTTTGTGTGTGAGCCTGAGACACGTGGCACCTGCTTTGTGTGTGAGCCTGAGCCACGTGGCTCCTGCTTTGTGTGTGAGTCTGAGACACGTGGCACCTCTGAGACACGTGCCACCTGCTTTTTGTGCAAGCCAATTCCACAGTTTAGGGACCGTGGCGTTTTTGACCTACACAAATATATATAATTAATAAGCCGTCCATACAAAAATTGTAATTGCTTGAAAGGAGGCAATTAATTGATGAATTGATGCCGATGTTCATACAGGCATGCATTGTCGCCGCATCTGAGTGTGTGTGCAAAATTTGTAATTGATTGGGCAGCAGCAAGGACACTAACTTTTGATTACAAGATTTGACCACGGCAAACACAAGTGGAGTTAAATAAAACCATTGAAAAACAGGTTGCTTCATAAAAATGTTAACACAACAATACCGAGAGTCCCATATAAGTGTTTTTGAAGCACCCTGTATATATGTTATGTTTATATTACTAGGTAAGTCCCACTGACTTATGTAGCTCGTTTTCAGAAACGACCTGGCCATAAATGATAGCTCAGCGAAGTGGCGATCATCATCACGTGGAAAGTGATAGCAGCCACACACTCTAAACGCGTGACATAATTCTGAATGTGGAGGGGAAAACCGGAGGACCCGGAGGAAAATCCACGTGACCACGGAGAGAACATGCACACTCCAAATATACAGCAGCAGGCATCAGGGTCGGGATCGAACCCACGAACTCCTGCACACCAGGCGAGGGAGTCAACATCCCCTAGCCACCTTGATGATGATGAGAGACACGCAAACTCCAAATATACAGCAGCAGGCATCAGGGTCGGGATTGAACCCACGAACTCCTGTAGACCAGGCGAGGTAGTCAACATCCCCTAGCCACTGTGATGATGATGAGAGGCACGCAAACTCAAAATATACAGCAGGCATCAGGGTCGGGATCGAACCCACGATCTCCTGCACACCAGGCGAGGTAGTCAACATCTCACCACGGTGGCGCCCTGGCATGGCTGTGTTAATAACGCCGCTTGTGTCTCCCGCAGCCGCTCATGGACAACCTGGAGTCTCAGACGTACGAAGTGTTTGAGAAGGATCCGATCAAGTATTCCCAATATCAGCGGGTGAGTTCCACACACACATTGTCACAGCTGTCATCGTCGTCATCGTCGTCCTTGTCTGCCATGGTCAATCCGCTGCTGGTTGAAGGTCTCCACATTCTGTCCTGCAGTGTAATAATGTAACAAGAAACATTCTGATCTGTATCTCTGTGTATCTATGTACCTCTATGCATCTCATTGGATATCTATGGGTCTCTATGTATCTATGTGTATCTGTGTACCTCTATGCATCTCATTGGATATCTATGGGTCTCTATGTATCTCTGTGTATCTATGTACCTCTATGCATCTCATTAGATATCTATGGGTCTCTATGTGTCTCTGTGTATCTATGTACCTCTATGCATCTCATTGGATATTTATGGGTCTCTATGTATCTCTGTGTATCTATGTACCTCTATGCATCTCATTAGATATCTATGGGTCTCTATGTATATCTGTGTATCTATGTACCTCTATGCATCTCATTGGATATCTATGGGTCTCTATGTATCTCTGTGTATCTATGTACCTCTATGCATCTCATTAGACATCTATGGGTCTCTATGTATCTATGCGTATCTATGTACCTCTATGCATCTCATTGTATATCTATGGGTCTCTATGTATCTCTGTATCTATGTACCTCTATGCATCTCATTAGATATATATGGGTCTCTATGTGTCTCTGTGTATCTATGTACCTCTATGCATCTCATTGGATATCTATGGGTCTCTATGTATCTATGGGTATCTATGTACCTCTATGCATCTCATTAGATATCTATGGGTCTCTATGTATCTATGTGTATCTGTGTACCTCTATGCATCTCATTGGATATCTATGGGTCTCTATGTATCTATGTACCTCTATGCATCTCATTAGATATCTATGGGTCTCTATGTACCTCTATGCATCTCATTGTATATCTATGGGTCTCTATGTATCTCTGTGTATCTATGTACCTCTATGCATCTCATTAGATATCTATGGGTCTCTATGTATATCTGTGTATCTATGTACCTCTATGCATCTCATTGGATATCTATGGGTCTCTATGTATCTCTGTGTATCTATGTACCTCTATGCATCTCATTAGACATCTATGGGTCTCTATGTATCTATGCGTATCTATGTACCTCTATGCATCTCATTGTATATCTATGGGTCTCTATGTATCTCTGTATCTATGTACCTCTATGCATCTCATTAGATATATATGGGTCTCTATGTGTCTCTGTGTATCTATGTACCTCTATGCATCTCATTGGATATCTATGGGTCTCTATGTATCTATGGGTCTCTATGTACCTCTATGCATCTCATTAGATATCTATGGGTCTCTATGTATCTATGTGTATCTGTGTACCTCTATGCATCTCATTGGATATCTATGGGTCTCTATGTATCTATGTACCTCTATGCATCTCATTAGATATCTATGGGTCTCTATGTATCTATGGGTCTCTATGTACCTCTATGCATCTCATTGTATATCTATGGGTCTCTATGTATCTCTGTGTATCTATGTACCTCTATGCATCTCATTGGATATCTATGGGTCTCTATGTATCTCTGTGTATCTTTGTACCTCTATGCATCTCATTGGATATCTATGGGTCTCTATGTATCTATGGGTCTCTATGTACCTCTATGCATCTCATTAGATATCTATGGGTCTCTATGTATCTATGTGTATCTGTGTACCTCTATGCATTTCATTGGATATCTATGGGTCTCTATGTATCTGTGTATCTATGTACCTCTATGCATCTCATTGGATATCTATGGGTCTCTATGTATCTATGGGTCTCTATGTACCTCTATGCATCTCATTGGATATCTATGGGTCTCTATGTATCTATGGGTCTCTATGTACATCTATGCATCTCATTGGATATCTATGGGTCTCTATGTATCTCTGTGTATCTATGTACCTCTATGCATCTCATTAGACATCTATGGGTCTCTATGTATCTATGTGTATCTATGTACCTCTATGCATCTCATTGGATATCTATGATTCTCTATGTATCTCTGTGTATCTATGTACCTCTATGCATCTCATTGGATATCTATGGGTCTCTATGTATCTATGTGTATCTATGTACCTCTATGCATCTCATTGGATATCTATGGGTCTCTATGTATCTCTGTGTATCTATGTACCTCTATGCATCTCATTAGATATCTATGGGTCTCTATGTATCTCTGTGTATCTATGTACCTCTATGCATCTCATTAGATATCTATGGGTCTCTATGTATCTATGGGTCTCTATGTACCTCTATGCATCTCATTGGATATCTATGGGTCTCTATGTATCTCTGTGTATCTATGTACCTCTATGCATCTCATTGTATATCTATGGGTGTCTATGTATCTATGTGTATCTATGTACCTCTATGCATCTCATTATCATTAACAGGATAATGACATAGGGTGGTAGCCACCGTTCCTAACTTAGCTACCACACGGGGATACTTCATCACTGGACCAGGACAGCTCAACACGCTGCCTGGTTCACTAGCGGAGACCGGAGACTGAGGATCGTGGTCGGTGACTTCATCCCAGACTTGACCCAGCAGACCAGCCCCCAGCTCTCCGTCCACACCCCGCTTATAATCACTCCGGCGTGGCCGGCTCCGCCCCAGGACACGCCCCTCTTCCCAATCCTTTGGGAAGGGGGGCGTGGCCAGCTCCGCCCCAGGCCACGCCCCCCTTCCCGAAGGACAGGAAGGCCCGAGCCCCCAACCACGTGACCCCCCTGGGGCCGCTGGCCCCCCTTTATCCGGTCACGTGTCCTGTTGGGTTCACGCAGAGTGTCACGGCCTGACACGACCCCTGTGACACCCGCCTACAGCCCCCATACCGAGCCAACACAGTAGTGTCGTTCTACTACACTACATATGTATCTCTGCGTGTCTCTACGTATCTCTCCGCATCTCTATCCGTCTGCGGGTCACTGTTGGTCTCCCGTGCATCATCTCCGTTGTGTCTCTGTGGGCCCACCCCCCCCCTCCCCCCGTGCGGGCTCGTGTTGACGGCCACGGTTGGTTCCGCAGGCTGTGTACATGGCGCTCTTGGACAAGGTACCGGAAGAGGAGAAGGACTCGCGAGTGCTGTGAGTGCCGCTTTAGTTTCGTTGAGCGTGCGACATCGCCTCGCTTGGTGTTGATGAACTGTGAATGACCCAACCAATAGTTATGGATATCCATTGCCATTTATGTGAATACGTGAACCCCCCCCTACACCCCTCTGGTCCTCGCACCTGATTGGCTCACAGGTGACCACGTCACGTTTATCCCCCCGTCTATTTAAGACGGAAAGAGATTTTCTCCGCTACTCTGTGGCTGTCGCCTGATGATGCTGGTTGTAATTACCGACGGAAGATCACGCTACTCGAATTGTAAATGTTGTGGTGGGTTTACTCTCCAACACACAGCCGGTTAGTGCTGGACTAGTAACGAATTGGCACGGTTTGCTTACGTGACAAACCTTGCCAATTTGCTCCGTCGGGTGGTGGTGGCGGGTTTACCGACACATTTACGCCATCTAAGCCAACAAAAACCTTGGTTACGGTTAAAAGCGTTGCTACGGGCGGTGCACCGGAGCCTCTGTGTGTGCCCCCTCCTAACCCTCGTCAGTTCCATTTGACGATTGCTCTGAAAGGTAACTCGGAAAGGAACCTTTTAGTTAAACACATTATTTGCGAATGGTGCTGGCAGTTGCGCCCAGGCCTACGGTTGACAGCCAACCAAAAACTCGGCAGCTTTTGTCATGAACGACGCTTCGTGCGCGAGCGAGTGCGAGCGCGTCGCCGTGAAAAGTACGATGGTTTAACTAACGGGTAACGTTTCGGGTGATGGGCCTCGGTTCGTAGAGAGGCCGGTGGAGAGACATAGCGAAGATGAGGAAGATGAGAGATGGTGTGAGGCGGGGGAGGGGGGTCCTGATGTGAAACGCGATTTGCGAATATTGTTTTTCCGACGACCGGATTTTAAATTGCCATGACGAAATTGTTACCCCGAGAGCAGCCGTAATCCTGGTTCTGAAACGGAGCCCTGCTTCACTCGTGCTTGTGACCTTGGAGGATCACCCCCACCCCCACCCCCCCCACGTCCAGAGTAGTGGAGACAAAGCCGGCCTAGCGAGAAGTTAACCCTGTCCCGTTTTCTTCCGATTTCCCGATCCGGCGACGCGCACGTGAACTACAACCGACGTAACTTTATCGGTTAGCGGGGTTTCCTCCCGCACGGCCGCCGCGGAAGGGCGCGCTTTGGCGCGCTTTGGCGCCAGCCGTCGTAGGGTGGCGGCGGTCGTGTCGCTGCGGTTTCGTGCGGTGAGTAACGACGTCTTTAAGAACGGCGCCGCTGCAGCTACGCCTCTCTAAATGAAATCGGCGTCCAGCCGCTCGCGCGCGGTCCGAGATTCGGCGTTGAACAGGAGACGCGCGCCGCACCCGCGCTGCCACTTGCAGACGTCTCGGAACGGGAGAGGGTTAATCCGTTTGAATTATTCCACTCAGCGGTGCCTGCTTTGATCAATTGTGGGCCCTATAATGTGATACATGGCCTGGCCTTCTCATTACGTTAAACGCTCCCGAGTGCAGGGCATTTGAAAGGCGTACGATTCGTTTTTTTTTTGTTCACCGTCCCTCCTCGCTCGGTTGTCCGCTTTCTCAGACTCCGGGGGGCGGGGGCGGGGGCGGGGGGGGGGGGGGGCGATGCCGCTGGGTGAATTTGTAAGTGAAGCTCCTCGCGTCGTTATTCTAAACTAAGGTGATCTGGTAACCACCCCCACTCCCACCACCGTGAACCCGGCGACCCGAGTTCGATTTACTGTTCACGGCCAACATGGCGAGCGGATATCTGGACCGGTCCTGGGCCTCTTCCCTCCCTACGTTGACTCGGCCATTAAATGAGCATCTTTTGTAAACGTCAGCACCGGAGAGACGGAGGCTGCTTGGCTCGTGGCGTTTGCCACCCCCCGGCCCCCTCCCCTTGCTGATCCGTGGCGGCCTTCGTAGGCGGCACTTAGCCGCGGACCGTCCGTTGAAGGCGGCTACGCGGGGTTGACCTTCGTCTTTGCGTGTGCCCAGGGTGCTGATGGTGCTGGGCGCGGGCCGAGGTCCCCTGGTCAATTCCTCGCTGCGCGCGGCGAAGGCCGCGGGCAGGAAGATCCGCGTCTACGCCGTGGAGAAGAACCCCAACGCCGTCGTCACGTACGTGGGAGGGGGAGGGCTCGTGGCATGGGGTCTCCTGCACAGAGAGACGACGCCTCGATTCCGATTCATTACTCAGGGTGTCTACTGAGCAGTGGTTTGGGTCGAGGGGGGGGGGGGTGCCGTATAATCCCCCGCCCCCCCCATTGAGATCCCACCGCGGGGAGTCTGGAGGGTGCCCCTCTGCCACTGAGCAGCCTCGGCAAACCAAAGTGCGCGTTTGTTTTTCCGTGTCTAGTTTGTTGCCCTTACCCCCGCGCCTCCGATTAGCGCGGTTGGCTACGTACGGCGCGAACGAAGTTCACCGCTCGCGCGTCCGTGCCTACGTCACGTCACCCAGGCTGGAGAACTGGAAGGCGGAGGAGTGGGGAGACAGCGTGACCGTGGTGTCGTGCGACATGCGCGAGTGGCTGGCGCCCGAGAAGGCCGACATCATCGTGAGCGAGCTGCTGGGCTCCTTCGGCGACAACGAACTCTCCCCCGAGTGCCTGGACGGGGCGCAGCGCTTCCTCTCGGGTAGAGAGTCCTGGCGCACGGACACGCACGCACGCACACGCACGCACACGCACGCACGCACACGCACGCACACGCACGCGCACGCACACGCACGGACGTACACACACGCGCACGCACGTACACGCACGCACACACACACACCCACGCACGCGCACGCACGCGCACACATGCACACACACGCGCACGCACACACACACACTTACACACACACGGGTCTCACTTCACGCGCCGCCACCTGGCCTGTGACCACATGACCTTACCTGAAGGAAGAGCACGTTCCAGACGGCCGCAGAAGCGCAGAGGAAAGCGCCGCGCGATGATGCGGTGACCGCGGTCTTTGTTCGACGGCTGAGCCAAAAGCTGCTGCTGCTGCAAGGATGAGCACCGGATTCCACGTGATCACTGTTTACGTTTCTTGCTGACGAAATGGGCGATGGCACAATGGAGATATAACAATGGGGATATAACACTGGGGATATAACAATGGTGGTATAACACTGGGGATATAACAATGTGGATATAACAATGGGGATTTAACACTGGGGATATAACAATGGTGGTATAACACTGGGGATATAACAATGTGGATATAACAATGGGGATTTAACACTGGGGATATAACAATGGTGGTATAACACTGGGGATATAACAATGTGGATATAACATTGGGGATATAACAATGAGGATATAACAATGGGGATATAACAATGGGGATATAACAATGGTGGTATAACACTGGGGATATAACAATGGGGATATAACAATGGGGATATAACAATGTGGATATAACAATGGGGATATAACAATGGGGATATAACAACGGGGATATAACAATGGGGATATAACAACGGGGATATAACAACGGGGATATAACAATGTGGATATAACAATGGGGATATAACAATGGGGATATAACAATGGGGATATAACGCTGGGGATATAACAATGGGGATATAACAATGGTGGTATAACACTGGGGATATAACAATGGGGATATAACAATGGGGATATAACAAAGGGGATATAACAATGGGGATATAACAATGGGGATATAACACGCTGCTGCTGTGTCCCCTCAGAGGACGGCATCAGCATCCCGCGTGAGTACACCTCCTACATCTCCCCCATCTCCTCGTCCAAGCTCTACAATGAGGTGCGCGCCTGCCGCGAAAAGGACAAAGATCCAGAGGTGAGACCGCTATCCCACTCGCACTCATTCACTCGCTCACTCATTCACTCACTCATTCACTCATTCACGCACTCACTCATTCACTCACTCATTCACTCATTTATTACTCATTTACCCACTCATTAATTCACTCACTCATTCACTCGCTCATTCACTCATTTATTCACTAATTTACCCACTCATTAATTGACTCATTCAAACACGCTTGTGTGTGTGTGTGAGGTGACGCCTGTGTGTGCGCCATAACGTTTGTGTGTGTGCGTGCGGTGATACTTGTGTGTGTGCCGTGACGCTTGTATGTGTATTTGGTAACGCTTGTGTGTATGTGATGACACGTGTGTGAGTGTGATGACACTTGTGTGTGTGTGTGTGATGACGCTTGTGTGTGTGCCGTGACACTTGTGTGTGTGTGATGACGCGTGTGTGTGTGTGTGTGATGACACTTGTGTGTGTGTGCCGTGACGCTTGTGTGTGTGTGTGTGTGATGACACTTGTGTGTGTGATGACACTTGTGTGTGTGTGTGTGATGACACGTGTGTGTGTGATGACACTTGTGTGTGTGATGACACTTGTGTGTGTGTGCCGTGACGCTTGTGTGTGTGTGTGATGACACTTGTGTGTGTGTGATGACACTTGTGTGTGTGTGTGATGACACTTGTGTGTGTGCGCCGTGACGCTTGTGTGTGCGCTCGGTGACGCTTGTGTGTGTGTGTGTGCGTGATGATACTTGTATGTGTGCGCCGTGACGCTTGTGTGTGTGATTACACTTGTGTGTGTGTGTGATGACACTTGTGTGTGTGTGTGCCGTGTTCGCCCAGGCCCACTTTGAGATGCCCTACGTGGTGCGCCTTCACAACTACCACGAGCTGGCCAAGCCACAGCCCTGCTTCACGTTCGTGCATCCCAACACAGGTGAGCTGCCGGACGACGTCTGTTAGAAAAAGAGCTTCACGGCTCGTCGGCTTCCCCCCGGTACCAACGAACATTTGCCCAAAAGCTCTGTTAAGGCTTCACGGGGGTTCTTTGACTCTTGTGTTGCGAACAGAGCCCGGGATGGACAACAGCCGGTATAAAGCCCTGGAGTTCCCCATCAGCACAGACACGGTGCTGCACGGCTTCGCAGGATACTTTGAGACGGTGCTGTACAAGGATGTGACGCTAAGTACGTGTGCTGGCGACATCGCATCCACGTGCGGTCGCATTGCGCGAGCCAAAAAGATTTCGCCATTCCACACCATCCAGGAGACGCACCACAGTGTCGAGATGTTAACTCCCTCGTCGATGCCGAACCTGACCCTTGCTGTATTGCACACACATTCTGATTCTGTACATTATAAACGTGCGTTTAGAGTGTTTGGCTGCTGCTATACATTTCCACGCGATAAGCCACCTCGATCCCGACCCTGACGCCTGCCTGCTGTATATTTGCAGTCTGCGTCTCTCTCATCATCATCATCACGGTGGCTGGGAGATGTTAACTACCTCGCCTGGTATGCAGGAGGTCGTGGGTTCAATCCCGACCCTGACACCTGCTGCTGTACATTTGGAGTTTGCGTCTCTCTCATCATCATCATCACGATGGCTAGGAGATGTTAACTACCTCGCCTGGTATACAGGAGGTCGTGGGTTCGATCCCGACCCTGACGCCTGCTGCTGTACATTTGGAGTTTGCGTCTCTCTCTCTCCCCGTGGTCGCGTGGATTTTTCTTTGAGTGCTCCGGTTTTCCCTTCCACATTTAGAATCAACAACGACACGCGTTCAGGGTATTCTACTGCTATCACGTTCCACGCACGGTGATCAGCCGCCACTTCGTTGAGCTGCCATTTGTCATAGCCGGGTGGCTTTACTGAAAAAGGGCTACGTAGCTCGGCGGGCCTTACGCCGCGGTAAAATAACGAAAAAACACGTTCAGTTTTAGCTTATCGCCCTGGCCACGAGACACCGTGCGTTGCGCCGTGGGTGGGTGTCGCTGCCCAGCTGTGGTGGCGCGTTGGCCGACTGTTGCATTAACCGTACATTTAGCGCCCGCTGTCGGCGTCGCCGCGGACGCTAGAGAACCCCACTTGCGGAACTTGACCGTCGCGAATCATCGGGGTTGGGTGGGGGCGAGGTTTGTATCGCTACAAAACACGCTAAGTGGTACTTTGGTGTCGGTCAAGTTGTGACCGATGGAGCTCCTTCTCGCCCCCGCTGCCTGGAGACTTGTCGCAACTCTATTGAACGTGCGGCGAGCGACAGATGTGACGATCGATGAACCGACTGTGCGCTCATATTAGGGTGCGCTTACATCCAAATGCAGGAGGTAACGGGTGTAACAGACGGGGGGGGGGTGGCGTTTTGTTTTGCAGGCATTCATCCCGAGACCCACTCTCCCGGCATGTTCTCCTGGTTTCCCATTCTCTTCCCCATCAAGGTAAGCGAACTATGAACCCACGGCACGTTACAACGCGAGCGTCTCAAATGTTTACCACCCAGCAAGACCTTACGAGCCCCACGCCATGCTGCTTCGCCCAGGGAGAGCCTCCCCCTGGTCAGCTCTCGCCACGGCGAGATGATGATAGCTGCTGTGTGTGTGTAGTGCTGCTGTGTGTGTGTGTGTAGTGCTGTGTGTGTAGTCCTGCTGTGTGTGTGTGTGTAGTCCTGCTGTGTGTGTGTGTGTGTAGTGCTGCTGTGTGTGTGTAGTGCTGCTGTATGTATGTGTGTGTAGTCCTGCTGTGTGTGTGTAGTCCTGCTGTGTGTGTGTAGTCCTGCTGTGTGTGTGTGTAGTGCTGTGTGTGTGTGTAGTGCTGTGTGTGTGTGTAGTCCTGCTGTGTGTGTGTAGTCCTGCTGTGTGTGTGTGTAGTCCTGCTGTGTGTGTGTAGTCCTGCTGTGTGTGTGTAGTGCTGTGTGTGTGTAGTGCTGCTGTGTGTGTGTAGTGCTGCTGTGTGTGTGTGTAGTCCTGCTGTGTGTGTATAGTGCTGCTGTATGTATGTGTGTGTAGTCCTGCTGTGTGTGTGTAGTCCTGCTGTGTGTGTGTGCAGTCCTGCTGTGTGTGTAGTGCTGCTGTGTGTGTGTAGTCCTGCTGTGTGTGTGTAGTCCTGCTGTGTGTGTGTAGTCCTGCTGTGTGTGTGTAGTCCTGCTGTGTGTGTAGTCCTGCTGTGTGTGTGTAGTCCTGCTGTGTGTGTGTAGTCCTGCTGTGTGTGTAGTCATGCTGTGTGTGTGTGTGTAGTCCTGCTGTGTGTGTGTATATAGGTGTGTATAATCCTGCTGTGGGTGTGTGGGGAGCGGTAGTGCAGCGGTTAGCGCTACGCTGCGCTATAAACCCGGCGACTTGAGTTCGATTGCCACTCACGGCCAACACCAGTGACGATTATCTGAACCGGTCCTAGGCCTCCCCGAGGTCGATTCAGCCTCAAATGAGTACCTGGTGCGGTGTGTAGTAAACATCGTCACTGGGGAGACAAAGGCGGCCGGGCGTGGTGCTGGCCACCCACCCCCTCGTGTGCCGTGCCGGCCTTCACTGGTGCTGCTCGCTTAACCGCAGTATTTAAAGGCCTTGAGAACGACAGTGACCGCACCAAGCGTACTCGGTCCGCCGTGTCCCGTGACCCCCCCCCCCCCCCCATTGTGTTTCCGTCACCGCGCCGTCTCGACCCCCTCCTCCCCCCGCCCCAGCACCCCATGCCGGTGCGGAGCGGCGACACGGTGTGCCTCCGCTTCTGGCGCTGCTGCAACCAGCAGAAGGTGTGGTACGAGTGGGCCATCACGTCCCCGATGACGTCCGTCCTGCACAACCCCGCGGGACGCTCCTCCACCATCGGCCTGTGAACCGCGCGGAGAGAGGAGAGAGGCCGTTTCCTCGTCCTCCTCCGTCGTCGTCGCGCTCGTTTACCCAGGGAAGCCTCGCCGAGTCTCGCGTGCGACTCTTGGTCTTTCTTCTTTTTTCAGCAGGGTTTCTGCCAAGTTTTCGAAGTAGCGGGGTGGGGGGTGGGGGAGGGGGGGGAGCGACCGGCGTTTGCCACGCGTCGTCCACGTGAAGTCGTTTGCGGTGGGGGGTTGGGAAGGGGGGGGGGGGGTTGGGGGGAGTTTAAGTTGTAGCAAAGCCGGACCACGACGCCGGCGCCGCAGTGGCGTGCTCTTGCGAATGGCGTCGTGGCATCTTTACCACCACGCGGATGCGTGGTGGTAATTTTTTGGGGCCGACGCGCACCGCAGTATTAACCGGGGCGGCCGTTGGGCTCGAACCACGAACCTCCGTGCGACAAGGAGCAGCGGAACAGCGCTACCCCGCCGTCAGTGGGTCGCGTCACCGCTTCACCGCGTCACCGCCCCCCCCCCCCCCCCCCACCACCCCCCACTGTTGGTAAATTAATTAGCGATGGAAATATTCGACGCTAAAGCGTGAAGTGTTTATTTTTTCGCTCCTTTTTTTTAAATCAGCGATGACCGCGTGTGGCCGAGAGCCACCTCTCACGCGTGACGATGACGACCACCGCCGACCAAAGACCTAAGCGTGTCCCGCCCTAACGAGGCGAGACATGGCGAGTCCGAGTGAAGACGCATTCCAAGATAATAATAATAAAGAGATGAGGTGGTAATGTTATTCGAGATGGTGCGCTGAGGAAGACACAACATTTATAATTGGTCGTGTGTACAAAAAGATTTGCTGCAATCACCGATTGGCTGCCCCCGGATTCCATGAATCACTCCCAACATCCGTTAACTAAGAGTGTCTGACTACATATTTGACCGCTTTAGTTGCTCAGACTAAGGTCCGTATTCATAGTCACGGCCCGGCTCAGGCCTGCCTCCTTTGGCTGCTATAAATTTCCACGTGATGATGTGGTGGCCAGGTTGCTTCTGAAAAAAATAGCGACTTAGATCAGTGGGGCCTTAACCTGTAAAGTAGAAAAGTTTTGAAAACTTTGGCCGCCTCCGAATATGGGTCCCAGCCCAGCTTAAGATTTATTTGAGCCCAGCGACGGTATGAGCTGAGCCACGGCTGAGCCGAGCCTTGGCTAAGCCACGGTATTAGCCCAGCCACGGTATTAGCCGAGCCACGGTATTAGCCCAGCCACGGTATTAGCTGAGCCACGGCTTAGCCGAGCCACGGCTTAGCCGAGCCAAGGCTGAGCGACTCACGCGCGTGTTATTGGGAAGCGACCAGAGCAACTCAAGCCTGAGCTGGGCCTCTTGAGTGCAAGAAGGCCGAGCCCGGAGCCAAGCCGGCAAACTTAAGAATCCAGCCCAAAGGCTGAAATGACTCAAGTAAAAAAAACTGTTGACTAAACGAGAACTGTTCTGCAAGTTGCCACAAGGTACGATGCCCGACTTGGCGTCTGTAGCACCGGCAGTGGCAGGTGACGATGCCCGACGTTGGTGACCCGCGTGTGCGTGTCTGTGGGCGTGTCTGCGTGCATGTCTGTGTGCGTGTCTGTGGGCGTGTCTGTGTGCGTGTCTGTGTGCGTGTCTGTGGGCGTGTCTGTGTGCGTGTCTGTGTGCGTGTCTGTGTGCGTGTCTGTGGGCGTGTCTGTGGGCGTGTCTGTGTGCGTGTCTGTGGGCGTGTCTGTGGGCGTGTCTGTGTGCGTGTCTGTGTGCGTGTCTGTGTGCGTGTCTGTGGGCGTGTCTGTGTGCGTGTCTGTGGGCGTGTCTGTGGGCGTGTCTGTGGGCGTGTCTGTGTGCGCTCGCTACTTCAAGTTCGTGTGCTTGGACGACGGCGTTTATGCGGTAGGCGCGTGACGCATTTGGCGATTCTGTCAACGACGGTGGATCGTTTATATCGTGGCATCGCGCCACGTTGGCATCAGACTCGGAATTTGGAGAACAGAAACGTTTCAAAATAATTATTCTTACTGTCAATCGAAGCCTGAGTCACCCCCCGCAGTCCTTGTGCCACGTCACTCGTGAAGTTTTTTTTTTACCGTACTTCACCGCGCCGGTCAAAGCAGCTCGGCGAAGCGGCAGCCAGTGCAGGACCGGTTCTGATGCCACTCCGCCACCGACGCTGCGTGCGGAGTGCTAACCGCCGCGCCGCCGACCCACCCCACCGTGAACGTCGCCCTGCGCGGTGCTTGCCAAGCGTTTCGGACCGCTTCTCTCCCGCGTCCCCGTGGCTCCGGTGGGCTCCACATCGTTTGCCAGCTCACGAAGCGGCACGCTAACGCACGCTGAACTCGTTTGCACCGGCAACCGGGGGAACGGCGCCGTCGTTTTGAACGTTCGCGTCGTTCGCGTTCCAAGGGCGCCGACTCGCTTGGAGGTTGTTTGAACGCTCGCACGGTGACCGATGGGCGACTGTTCTTTAGCGTCGCGTTGGAAGCGAAAGTCAAACGACCACGGGGGGTCTTCTCGCCGCGGAAGATCGTGTTACCGACGGGTTCCTGTGTGCGGATGCGATGTGCCGTCTCCCCGGGGAGGACCTTAGCCTCCTGCGTCATTTCTTTTCCACATTTCGCGCACACACGGGATTCTTCACCGGGGAGAAACGTATCGCGGTCTCGCTCTTGATTTCGACTGCCGTCGGTCCTATTCATGGCCCCCCAACAACCCCCGGCCGCCTCGCCCCCCACGAACACCGTGGCTCGCTGATGGTGACTGCCCACCCACCCCCTGTGATGTTTTGTATCGAATTGGAAGCTTGCGTTGGGGAAAAATAAAGCAGAAGTTACTTCTTTAATCCGAACTGCGGTGAAAACATTGCGAGGTTTGTAAACACATCCACTTGTTGCGGTGATAGTTTACTGTTAAACGAGAGCACTGTAGTTAAATACGTAGGCTGTCGCGACAAATATCCATAATACAGGTTTTTGTTTTTTGTTTTAGATCCCGTTAATATATTATTGTGTCGTTAAACCCGCCACCACCCGACAGCCAAATTAATAAGGTTTGTTACGTAAACAAATCTGATGAAGCTAGTTGTAATTACTGGCGAAACATCATACTCCGATTGTAAATGTTGTGGCTTGGCTCCCCAACACACCGGTGTGCTGTACTAGTGACAATTTGGCAAGTTCTGTTTGTGACAAACCTGACTAATCGGACTGTGGATTTAAAAGTATACAATAGGCCAGTGTCATAAAATGTATAATATATCATGCTAATTAGTAGACGAGCCAGATGGCTCAGCCCATCGGCCTTCTCTGGTCGATAAAATAAGTACCGGCTTTGTGGCGACGTCCTATGGATATGCCTGTCATAGGAACGTGGAATCGCCACCGCAGGCTCGGGGTTGTGTAAACGGGAGATGGGGACCGCCGACACAACATTCAGAGACATGTGAAATAGGAGCAGCTGAAAACACGACTGCCATCGTGTCTCCACACAACAACGAAAAGTGCTCACGGAAGATTAAGGGCAATATTCTATAATATTGCATCCAACTATGACCAATATAAACGATAAACTATTTTTACCAGGTTTAAGGCCCCACTGAACTATGTACCTCTTTTTCAGAAGCGGCCTGGCCATCACAAATGATAGCTCAACAAATTGGCGGCTTATCATCATCATCACGTGGACATTTATAGCAGCAGCCAAATGCTATAAATGTGTGATTCTAAATGTGGAGGGAAAAAAAACGGAGGGAACCCGGAGAAAAATCCACGCGACCACGGGGAGAGTGAGACACCGCAAACTCCAAATATACAGCAGGCGTCAGGGTCGGGATCCAACCCTCGACCTCCTGTATACCAGAAGAGGTAGTTAACATATCCCAGCCATCATTATGATGAGAGAGACGCAGACTGCAAATATACAGCAGCATCAAGGTCAGGATCAAGGTCAGGATCGAGGTGGCTTAGCACGTGGAAATGTATATCAGCAGTCAAACACTCTAAATGCACGTTTATAATGTACATAATCAGAATGTGCGTAATGACATGATGACACCTGCTGGCTGGGGAAGGGCAGCACGGGTACGGGCACGAGGGAGAGGTATCTGGGGCAAAGGTGACAGGCGTGGTTGGCCGAGATGCTCCGGGAGCCCGCTCGAAGATTCCACGAGAGGGCGTGGCCGGAGGCGGGGCCTAGCCACGCCTGGGGAGTTATAAGGGCGGGCGGGCGGACCGGGGCTCGGGGTTCGTGTGTGGAGTCTTGGGTCCCGGCTGCGTCGCTGCTCGCCGCCATCTCTCTCCGTCGTCCGGTCACGCGGAAGATCTCCTGCGGGGTTTCCATCGCCGTCATCGTCACGCCGCCAGCCAGCGGCGTGGCCGAGTGAGGGTGGTGGGACCACGCCGAGTGACCGGCCGTGCGTGTGTAGCCGGTCGAGACGTTTATCTAAGTGTTGTACTCGGAATGAGAAGAATAAGGTTGGCCTGTGTTGTAAGTCGCTCATTACATATGCAATGACTACTTGACGCACTTCTCTTGAAATGGCACTATTGAAGACATATTCTTGGTTCTTTCGGTAAAGTCACGTAGAAGGGAAACAATAAAATAATAAAAATATGAAACAAAATTCTCACGACGTTTCGACTGCAACACAAGCAATCATCATCAGGTGTGAAAACCACAGCAAGAAAATTTGAAAAAAGTGGCGGTTATTTTTAACGTTAGCACCACGGAGAACGGTTTGACAGTTTGTTCAGATAGACGAGTCCATCTATGTTCGGAAAAGAGGAGGGGGGAGACGAAAAATAATGGATGCGGTCTGAAAGCCGCCATAAGCGTGAACAATCAATTAAGACCCGAAATGGTTTATCAAATCCAATGATTGCTAAGCCAGAATCCATCTTCTCGGTTGAAATTGTCTCCGTGTTTGTATATGTGGATAGCCTCATGAACGAATCTCTCATGGTAGCCAGATGACTTGCAAAGAACCTCTGTCTTGGAGAAGTCAATGTCATGTGAGCCTACTGAATTATAACAGTGGCCACTAGTCCCTTTGCACTCACAACTGACTCCCCTGTCATTACCTCCCGTAGCCACCAGTCCCTTCGCACTCACAGCTGACTCCCCTGTCATTACCTCCCGTAGCCACCAGTCCCTTCGCACTCACAGCTGACTCCTGTTGTATATGCCGGGTATGAAAATTTTATGAAAATATTTAAAATTAAATGTAATTTAGAAAAATGCGTAATTATCCGAAAATATGTTAATTGCTGTAATTATGCGCATAAAATATGCTAATTAGAGAGCTAATCGTATTGATTATGCGATTATGCAAATGCGAGCCGTTATGATAATGAGGCCCTGCCTCGCTGACGAGGGTAGTATTATTACCAAGGCTGCTGTGTAGCTGATGGGATGTGTGCAGAATAGAGATCGAGCTGATGTGGTACAGGAGGACGTTGAGCTGAGTGGACTTGCCAATGAGCGGTACCAGCGGTGTCAAGATCGGCCTCTGTGGAGGAGGAGGCTCGTGAAGGACGCTGCTGCTGCTGCTGGGCAGTTGGAGGCAGTCGCCCTCCAGCAACAACGGAGGGCGGAGGAGCGACGCTCACAACAACGAGCGGAATCGCCGGGTGGATAAAACGCAGCAAGTTGGCACAGTAGGGGGTACAGCTGGTGGTGCATCTACCGGTCATCTCAGTCGGTCAACCCATGGCACCTGCTGGGTCTGTCCAGAGACCTGCACCTAGCCTGGCACAGTAGGGGGTACAGCTGGTGGTGCATCTACCGGTCATCTCAGTCAGCCAACCCATGGCACCTGCTGGGTCTGTCCCGTGATCTCCTCCTGCACCTAGCCTGGCACAGTAGGGGGTACAACAGCTGGTGGTGCATCTACCGGTGGTCATCTCAGTCGGCCAACCCATGGCACCTGCTGGGGTCTGTCCCAGGACTTCCTTGCCAGCAGAGAGCTCTCCCGACACTTCTCGTGGCTGCCTGCAACGTGCACCTAGCCTGGCACAGGCGCCATCTGGTGGCGAGCGGCATTGTGAGGCGCCTTGCGTGCTCGTCCATTCGTGAGAACCTTCACGTTCATGGTCACTTTCAAACTAGACGCTGTCCTTAATAACAGTCCGGCTGCAACAGGAAACGAAACATTTAATAGGCGACGTTTCGGGGGCAAGGGCGTAGGGGCGACGTTTCGGGTATACAGGCAAGGGCATGGAGCCGGCTTCCCATTGGCCGGAGAGCTGGTCACGTGGGTGGTAAGCAGGCGCCAGGTGTGCGTGCGGTAATTTCTTCGGAAGAATCGATTGATCGATTCGACATGTTCTATAGTTTAGCTCGATTCCAAAGGGTTTTCACAGATCGATTCCAAAGCGTTTTCACAGACCGATCGATTCTCAAATTGTTATCGCAGAGCGCTCGCGATTCACGCGAATCGATCCACGGGATTATCCCCCCCCCCCCTATCATCCGTGTGCAAAAAAATTGGCGCGAAAGTTGAGGGTGCGAGGGGCTCAGGAGACGGCGGGGCCGGCGGCGGCGGCGGCCTCCATGAGACGGAGCGACTCGACGCCGCCTGGGACGGCTGCGGCGACGGCGGTGGTGGTGCTGACGACGGCGGCGGTGCTGACGACGGCAGGCGCCGCGGTAGGGGCCGATCTCGGCGCCGCCGGCTCGGATTTGTTTCCCCCTGGCAGCGTTGCGAGCGGCGGCGTCGGCTCGTCCGAGGGAGGTCCTTCATCCAAGCGGTGAATTGGTGATGGCTGATGCTGACGATGATGCTTCTTCCTTCGTGCAGAGCAACAACCACAATGTGGCGTTCTATTTTTTTTTACTAAAGTATATTTGTTTTATTTGACCAGGTAAGGCCTCCCTACCTGAGTAGCTCTTGTTCAGCAGCGGCATGGCCTTCACAAATTATACCTCAACAAAATGGGCTTATCATCATCATGCGGACATTTATAGCAGCGGCCAAATACTCCAAACGCGTGGCGATGTTGACTCCAAATGTGGAGGGGAAACCCGGAGGAACCCGTAGATAAATCATCGCGATCACGGAGAGAGAGAGAGAAACACGCAGACAACTCCAAATATGCAGCAGCAGCAGGCATCGTCAGGGTCGGGCTCGAACCCACGAACCTCCTGTATACCAGGCGAGGTAGATAACATCTCGACACATTGAGGTGGTCAAGCCAGATAACCACGTCAGGCGTATCGGAGTGTATCGCTCTGATGTCTGCTTCGTACTTGTAGGTCGGGGGGCATTGCGTCGCTCTGTGTTCTGGATGACCACAGTCGCACCGCTACCACTGGAGGGCTTTTTAACTTTCAATTTGTGCACCAGGGTAATCCAGCATCTGCTGCTGCTAGATCAAAGGCCTGGGATCTTCTGCTTGCGGTTGGGTCGATCACAACAGGGCGGTGTTTGCGAGTTCTTGTGAACTCCGATCAGCTCTCCAAGCTGCATCGGGGGGGGGGGGGGGCGTTGTGAACTACCACGGTTGATTCTAGATTTAAAGCTTTCGTGACTGCTAGGATCCTACTCTTTGGTTCTATTGGGTAAAGTCACGTAGGTAAAAAATAAAATAACAAAAAATCACGACGTTTCGGCCACAACACAAGCGGCCTTCATCAGGTGAAGGGACGAGACTGTCTGGAGGACAGCGCTGGAGTGGGAGAAGCCACGCTTAGATCACGACCTTTAAGCTGTGTGAGAAGAAAAACACGGTTGAAGTTGTGAACTACCACGGTTGAAGTTGAGAACTACCACGGTGGAAGTTGAGAACTACCACGGCTGAAGTTGTGAACCCCCACGGTTGAAGTTGTGAACCCCCACGGTGGAAGTTGTGAACTACCACGGTTGAAGTTGTGAACCCCCACGGTGGAAGTTGTGAACTACCACGGTTGAAGTTGTGAACCCCCACGGTGGAAGTTGTGAACTACCACGGTTGAAGTTGTGAACCACCACGGTTGAAGTTGTGAACTACCACGGTTGAAGTTGTGAACCACCACGGTTGAAGTTGTGAACCCCCACGGTTGAAGTTGTGAACCCCCACGGTGGAAGTTGTGAACTACCACGGTTGAAGTTGTGAACCACCACGGTTGAAGTTGTGAACCCCCACGGTGGAAGTTGTGAACTACCACGGTTGAAGTTGTGAACCACCACGGTTGAAGTTGTGAACCCCCACGGTGGAAGTTGTGAACTACCACGGTTGAAGTTGTGAACCACCACGGTTGATGTTGTGAACCACCACGGTTGAAGTTGTGAACCACCACGGTTGAAGTTGTGAACTACCACGGTTGAAGTTGTGAACTCCCACGGTGGAAGTTGTGAACCCCCACGGTTGATGTTGTGAACCACCACGGTTGAAGTTGTGAACCCCCACGGTTGAAGTTGAGAACTACCACGGTTGAAGTTGTGAACTACCACGGTTGAAGTTGTGAACTCCCACGGTGGAAGTTGTGAACTACCACGGTTGAAGTTGTGAACCACCACGGTTGATGTTGTGAACTACCACGGTTGAAGTTGTGAACTACCACGGTTGATGTTGTGAACTCTCACGGTTGAAGTTGTGAACCCCCACGGTTGAAGTTGTGAACTACCACGGTTGAAGTTGTGAACTACCACGGTTGATGTTGTGAACTCCCACGGTTGAAGTTGTGAACTACCACGGTTGATGTTGTGAACTCTCACGGTTGAAGTTGTGAACTACCACGGTTGATGTTGTGAACTCTCACGGTTGAAGTTGTGAACTACCACGGTTGAAGTTGTGAACTACCACGGTTGAAGTTGTGAACCACCACGGTTGATGTGAACTACCACGGTTGAAGTTGTGAACTACCACGGTTGAAGTTGTGAACTACCACGGCTGAAGTTGTGAACCCCCACGGTTGAAGTTGTGAACTCCCACGGTTGAAGTTGTGAACTACCACGGTTGAAGTTGTGAACCCCCACGGTGGAAGTTGTGAACTACCACGGTTGATGTTGTGAACTACCACGGTTGAAGTTGTGAACTACCACGGCTGAAGTTGTGAACTACCACGGTTGAAGTTGTGAACGCCCACGGTTGATGTTGTGAACTACCACGGTTGAAGTTGTGAACTCCCACGGTGGAAGTTGTGAACTACCACGGTTGAAGTTGAGAACTACCACGGTTGATGTTGTGAACTACCACGGTTGAAGTTGTGAACCACCACGGTTGAAGTTGTGAACTCCCACAGTTGAAGTTGAGAACTACCACGGTTGAAGTTGTGAACTACCACGGTTGAAGTTGTGAACTCCCACAGTTGAAGTTGTGAACCACCACGGTTGAAGTTGTGAACTCCCACGGTGGAAGTTGTGAACTACCACGGTTGATGTTGTGAACTACCACGGTTGAAGTTGTGAACCCCCACTGTTGAAGTTGAGAACTCCCACGGTGGAAGTTGTGAACTACCACGGTTGATGTTGTGAACTACCACGGTTGAAGTTGTGAACTACCACGGTTGAAGTTGTGAACCCCCACGGTGAAAGTTGTGAACTACCACGGTTGATGTTGTGAACTACCACGGTTGAAGTTGTGAACCCCCACGGTTGAAGTTGAGAACTCCCACGGTGGAAGTTGTGAACTACCACGGTTGATGTTGTGAACTACCACGGTTGAAGTTGTGAACTACCACGGTTGAAGTTGTGAACCCCCACGGTGGAAGTTGTGAACTACCACGGTTGATGTTGTGAACTCCCACGGTTGATGTTGTGAACTACCACGGTTGAAGTTGTGAACCACCACGGTTGAAGTTGTGAACCCCCACGGTTGAAATTGTGAACCACCACGGTGGAAGTTGTGAACTACCACGGTTGAAGTTGTGAACCCCCACGGTTGAAGTTGTGAACCCCCACGGTTGAAGTTGTGAACCCCCACGGTTGAAGTTGTGAACTACCACGGTTGAAGTTGTGAACTACCACGGTTGAAGTTGTGAACTACCACGGTTGATGTTGTGAAGCGTGTGGGCCCTCCATGGCTTTGCGTGACTCCCAGCGATGGCGAGGGACGTTCTTTTGAGGTCCTGGCGAACGGGAAGGCGACTGCGTTCCTTGGCCGCTGCTTAAGACTGTATTGTGAGAATAGCTTAATAACACTCTTGTATTGCTCATGACGTGTCCATTTATCTATTTATATACTGTGTATATGTTTCTGTTGAAAGCCATCGTGGTAACCACAGAAAATGCGACACGATGGGGTGGGGAGGCGGAGTAACTCTGCATTAATATGCAGGAACCACCATCAGCAGTTCCCAAAGAACTGCATCGTTGTTCCTCGTGTTTTCTTCGGTCACGGTCAATACCAATCGAGCAAAAGTGACTGACAGTGATAGACTGCTGTGGGCAGGTTTCGTTATCATTAGCATGCATCAGCACGGTTTTATTTAAATTTAGCATCATACCTGAGCCAACCGTGCTAATTGGTAGTGCAGGGGGAAGGGCAACTAACTAAAAACACAAAAAACTCTTCTAAAGGATTGAGTTTTCAATCCGGATTTAAAGGTGCATAGATCCAGTGGCTTCCTCATATCGGAAGAGCGTTCCAGGTGGCCGCAGAAGCGCATCTGAAAGCACACGAGGATGAGCGGAGTTCGCGTGATGGTGGTTTGTTCTCTTTGGTGAGATCAGTGAAGTGTTATGGTTCATTTGTGGGACAGGGGGCTTGGTGTGCGACCTTCTTTACAAACTGATAGTGTGTTTTGCGTTATGCACAAAAGCCGAGTGCTTCTTGTACACGTCTCTGAGTGTGGCTTTGGAATGTACGGTTGTCTGGCCTGCATTATGATTCTGTTATGACGATAGAGTGTTCTCCTCTACAGATTTGATCTTGGAGGAGGCCCTGTGACGTCATTGTGTGCAAGCATCACAAGCCAAATATTTTTTTTAATTTTAAAAAATTGCACCACAAATTGCTCAAAGGGGAGTACACTGCACATACCAATTATTTCCGCCCCTACACTCGGGCTGAACGATTAATCGATTTCAAATCGAAATCGCAATTTGAAACAATGCGATTAGTAAAAAGCAAAGGCCGCAATTTTTTGCGATTTTAAAAGTGATATTACTTTCTTATTGGAATATTTTTTATGATTATAACTTTATTTAACTTAATTATTCTATGTTTGATTGTTCTTCTTCTTTGGTTCTTTCGGTAAAGTCACGTAGAATGGCAATAAAATAATAAAAATAAAACAGTAAAATTAGTGAGAATTTTATTGTTTTATTTTATTATTTTATTCTCATTCTACGTGACTTTACCGAAAGAACCGAAGAAGATGAATCCTTGCAGTCACGAAAGCTTTAAATCGAAATTTGATTGTTCTATTTCAATTAAATCATTTTCATAAATACATGTTGGAAGCAATTCATATCTTTTAAGTTTTCATCCTTGCATTAGAATATATAGAGCAGTTCATATTTTGATGGTATCACGTGGTAATGCTGCATCACATGTTTTCAATCTATTACACAGTGAATATTGAACTGAAGCTTCACTTTAAAAAAAAATAATCGCAAATCAAATCGCAATATCTGTCAGAAAAATCGCAATTAGATATTTTCCCCAAATCGTTCAGCCCTAGCCTACATCTTCCACTGCAAACACCTGGCAGGACTCTCCTGGAATGTAGTCGGTAGTCTCAGTGAGGCTTTCCAAAATTAAATGTGACTTTCAGTGTAATTTGTGTTTTTCATCATCAGCTAATGCTGGATGAAGAAGGCCTCTGCCAATTCCGATGAGTTACAATAGGAAGCAAACTCAGCCCCGAGTACCAACCTTCAAACTGACCTGAACCCTGCCAATACCCCCACCACCCCCCACACTAAGCCATGCCTCACCTCTGATTAGCACGGTCATACCTCCCTATTAGCACGCTTGGCAAACGTACGGTGCGAAAGAAGTTCAGCATACTTGCATACACGTCCCACTCTTCACCGTTTCTCTGCGTTTCAGTGTTGGTGCCCGGAGCGCTGGTACCCAGCGGGGTAGCCGCGCCCACTTCTTGTTTTCCCGGCGAGTGAGCGGGGGACGCCGATCGGACCCCGGGGCGGGCGAGTGAGAGGCGGGCAGCGTCGGTGTCGGCATGAACGAGTCCTGCGTGAGGGGGGGCACCCCTGCCCGGCCCGGCACGAGCGCGCCCCCCGGGCACGTGCTCATCAGCGAGAAGTGGAGGGGAACGCAGGTGGCACAGGCGCTATCCGGTGCGTGGTCATGATGAGGGCTGCGCTATTAACCATTTCCAATGACGTATGTGTACACGTACATCATCTTTTGATTCCATTTCGATGATGTATGCGTACGTCATCGGAACGGAATCGTTGTGCTTTGTGTCTGCGTGCAGGAAAGGTGCGACTTGTGTTCGAGGAGGCGATGGGCCTCACAGACTTCCAGCTCTCGGACCGCATGTGCCTCCTGTTCATCACAGAGAGCGACCAGGTCACCGGCTCGGACTACAAGCGCAGGCTCGTGCGCTTCCGAAAGGTGAGGTCGTGCCGGCATTTGGCCGACAGCATAAACCTTTGTGCCTTAAGAATCATATTTATTTTTACTGCAGGAGAAATGCGATGAGCTATAAAGCTCTTGTCACAGATGTCCAGTAGGGGCACGGGGTCTGAACGTTACAACAACGGTACAAAAACACGACACCGGCGCAAAGTACCTGGTGCAATGTGTCAACATCGTCGCGAGGGAGACGGAAGGGCGTGGTGCCGTCCACCCACCCCCTCGTGTGCCACAGTGCCAGCCTTCATAGGTGCTGCTGCTCGCTACTAACGGCAACTTGCCCCAGCAGTCCGCTTAAGGCTACACGGGTGGGGTGGGGATCTTTGTCTTTCGCGTGAGACAGAAGAGCGCCGCTAACTCCCTGGTGCTGGTGGAGCTGACGCCGCTGAGCGAGCAGTACTTTGCCGACGTGCAGGCTTTCGTGGTGCTCGACCTGGGCATGGCCATCGTCCCGGTGAGCGGCCAGGCCGAAGCAGCGCTCGTCATCGCCCACCTGGTGAGCAGGAGCCGTGCGGATCGCGCTGGGCCGGCCGTGCGTCCAGAGACTGGTCACGGTGGGGGGGGGGGGCGGGCGCGGCGGGGGAACTTATCTTAAGGTAGAGTTGATTCTCACTTTTAACCTGTTGTTGGCCTTCGCGACCAATATTATCCATAGTGCTCTGGGTTTTTTAAATTTTATTTCTAACTACGTGACTTTACCGAAAGAACCAGAGCGTGGATTCTTGCAGTCACGAAAGCTTCAAATCAAGATTATCCACAAGAGGTTTTTTTGCGTTAGATCAAACCATAACCCTCTGGCCTTTGCACCTGGTTGGCTCACAAGTGACGACATCACATTTATCCCTCTATTTAAGAACGAAGCAGGAGGATTTCTCCACATATCTGGCCGCCGTCTGATGATACTGATTGTAATTACTGGCGAAACGTCGTACTCAAATTGTGAATGTTGTGGGTTTACTCTCAATCACACCCGTGTGCTGTACTAGTAACGAATTGGCATGTTTTGTTTTCGTGATAAACCTTGCTAACTGGCTGTGTTGGGTGGTGGCGGGTTTAACGACATTTATATATACACGATCTAACCCAAAAAACACCTCTTGTGGTCAAGTTGATTTTGTTTCACTTGTCGTCGGCCACCTGGTGAGCAGGAGCCGCGCGCGTTGAGCTAGGCCGGCCGAGCATCCTGAGACTTAGGTCACGGGTGGTGGGGGGGGCGGGTGGCGGTTGCAGCAACATAACTCAAGGGCAAGTTGATATTGTGTCACCCGTGGTGAGAACTGGAGTAGTGTAGGAGCCTCATTTTTGCAACACGAACATTCATAGGCAAGGACATTCTTAACCCTGGCGCACGGGGCCTTGATGGCAAGGAGCCCTAACCTCTCTCCTCACGTCCGGGGCTATCGAATGAACATCAAGTGCGGCTGCGTTAACGGAAAGCTGACGCTCTCCCTACGGCCGTGGGGTACGCTCGCCGTTTGGTCCGCAGGTGGCCGATGAAGGCAAGAGTCCCGGGACTAACCCCTTCTCGCCCTCGCGGGGCGCGGCGGGCTCTGGCGACGCCGCCGTTCTCGACTGCGTCACGCACATCCCGGGCATCGGGCGCGTGAAGGCTCTGGCCCTACTGGAGCGCTTCCCGAGCCTACACGCGCTGTCCACCGCCTCCGATGAGCAGCTCGCCATCGCGGTCGGCCGAGGGGCTGCTGCTAGCGTCCGGGCGTTCTTCACGCAGCGCACGGGGCCCTGATGGCAGGGAGGGCCTCTCACGGTACTACAGGTATCATTCCCGCTGGTTATTTGCCATGTCGAGCAGTGACCAAACCTCCCCTCGCCCCTCCATCGCTTCCTGTCCCCTCCCCTAACCTTTCTCATGAAAGGTTATGGGGGAGGGGACACACTGTCACTCAATCCTTGGAGCACGTCACTGCTAACTAAATCATCGCATCGTTTTGTAAGCTGTGTCAAATGCCTTGAGTGAAGGTGCGTTCGATAAATATCATTACATTTTGGTCGTACACTCTTTTTGTTGATGGGTTTGTCATTTACAGCTTACATTTTTGGGCACTTATTTTAGTTAAATTTAAAGGACAGTGAATCAAGTTTTGATACTTTTACCTCATGCATTAAATCAAATCAATTATTTTTCGATTCACATAATGGGTCTAGGTGTCTCCTACAGCCATCAGAGGCCTTGCCTTCACTACAATTACAGAAAAATAAATCATCCTTCAACATAATATTAAAGTATATAGAATCATTACAGCACATAGATGATATGGACTATTATAGTTGTGTAATATACTTAGGGAGTACGACAATAGAATTCTGACAGCATGGAGCCACAGAGAACAGAATTCAAAACAATTTTATTTTGCGGGTATAAGAGTATTTACAAACATGAGTTGCTATGACGCTGGCTCTCTTCTCTCCCTGTGTCCCTCAGTCCAGACACTGGGGGGTGAGAGGACACAAGGACAGGGGAAGAGACCCCCTCAACTCTTCACATGTTCACCTGAAGATTCTCAGATGAAAATCTTCCCCTCGTGGCAGCGCCGCTTGTGCAGCGAAGGTGTAGTGGGCTCAAATAGGCACACACAGCTTCTTGGGAGGCAACACTATTTATGAACACCAGCACTGTCGAGTTACATAGGGTGGTAACCACCGTCCTACTCTAGCTAACACACAGCGTCCTCTCTAGCACCGCCTCTCGGATACGCTCGCGTGACCCAGCCAGGTGGGCTACTGGCGGGTCCCGCGGACTGGAGGCTTGACTCTTCTTGGCGTCTTCACGATGCATCTTCATTCTTGATACGGGCAGCCTCGAACCTCGTGAGGAGGCTGCTTATATGGGCCTCGGCGTGCCCGGGCCCCGCCCCGGTCACGCCTCCCTTCGAGAACCCTCTCAAAGCCTCCTCCCTGCTGTCCACGTGCCCCCCAAGGTGCTCCCCCGGCCCCCACTTGGATCCGGTCACGTGTCCAGCCGGGGTCACAGAGTGCCACGGCCTCACACCACCCCCGTGGCCTCCCGAGTCCAGAACCGGCCCTGACGTCATTCCTGCCTCCAGCTGGGATGATGTCGTGTATAGACGCGCGTGGTAGTGACGCTCCCCCTGCATAGTGACGTCACATGTGCGCGTGTGTGTGTATGTGTGTTCACAGTCGTGATGCTACTGGTCACTACAAAGGTACCCCAGCAGAAGCCACAGAAGTTGGAGAGGTCCACAGTCAAGTGGCCTCCCTCTTGGAAGCTCCCTTGGCCATGCCGGCAGAGCAGGCCCTCTGCACCCACGTCTTCACTCCCGCAGCCTGGGCGCGCTTCGCGTGGGACGAGCCCCAAGGGGCTGCCGTGAACACCCAGCAGCTCTGGCTCTCTTCCGCGCTCGGGTCGTTGAGGCGGCTACCGGCGTCGCCGAGAGCCGCGGCCTCCCAGAATGCGGCCGGGGCGCACCAGCGGGGAGGAGCGAGGCGGGGGCCGCCCAGGCACCGGCAGCATCTGCTCAGATTCAAGCAGGGGCTGCTCAGCCGTCAGGAGGAGGGCGGTGTCGTGGAGGAGGTGGTGCTTCGGGTGACGGGGACTCGGCTCCTTGAGCGCGGGGCCTTAGGCAAGCGAGACCTGGGGCACAGTGAGAGGAGGGGGTGGCATCAGCACTGCAAGTGCCTGGGCACTTCGCTTAATCGTCATCCAATGCAAGTACTCTCGTTGAGTCGCCGTAGTCGAGTTCCCACGAGCACTATGACCGTGCATGGAGAGATCGCACAGAGGAGCATGATGGACCTGGGAGCACGGTGCTACGCAGTGACATCGCCATGACCTTAAGAGAAGTGGACTTGGACAGGACACATTTCAAGACTAGCGTGTTATCAGTTTATCACATCAGTAGATCTATGATGTTGCGAAAATAGGTATTTTGGTCATTGTCATGAAGCTGCCTCACCACTACAAACTGTGCTCACTCATCCCTTGATAATCCCCACTCACCACTGCCTCCTCTCCCCACTCACCACTACCTACTCTCACCACTACCTCCTCTCCCCACTCACCACTACCTCCTCTCCCCACTCACCACTACCTCCTCTCCCCACTCACCACTACCTCCTCTCACCACTACCTCCTCTCACCACTACCTCCTCTCACCACTACCTCCTCTCACCACTACCTCCTCTCACCACTACCTCCTCTCACCACTACCTCCTCTCACCACTACCTCCTCTCACCACTACCTCCTCTCACCACTACCTCCTCTCACCACTACCTCCTCTCACCACTACCTCCTCTCACCACTACCTCCTCTCACCACTACCTCCTCTCACCACTACCTCCTCTCACCACTACCTCCTCTCACCACTACCTCCTCTCACCACTACCTCCTCTCACCACTACCTCCTCTCACCACTACCTCCTCTCACCACTACCTCCTCTCACCACTACCTCCTCTCCCCTCTCACCACTACCTCCTCTCACCACTCACCACTACCTACGCTCCCCACTCACCACTACCTACTGTCCCCACTCACCACTACCTCCTCTCCCCACTCACCACTACTGTCCCCACTCACCACTATCCCCACTCACCACTACTGTCCCCACTCACCACTACTATCCCCACTCCCCACTACCTTCTCTCTGGTAGGATGGGGGATGGTTTAGTGTTGTATTTGTTTGTGTTTGGGTGATTTGTTTACATTTCTTGTATGTTGTACTACTATCGTGTTGTTGTATTGTTTGTTGCAACGTTCTTACCCTGTGCCCCTACTGGACATATGTGCAAAAGAGCTTTATAGCTCATCGGATTCCTCCTGCAGTATAAATAAATATTCCGATTTTGATTTGTGCTCGCTAACAGCACCGGCCCGAAGTCTGTTACAGCTACACGGAGGGGTGGGGCGGGGGGGGGTCTGTCGTTACTGTTGTTGGTGCCTTGGGGGAGTCTGGTTATAGTCCCACGACCACTTCGACCGAAGCGACTGTGGAGGACCTGGCAGGATTCTTCAGAGTCGCGGAGTCTGCGGGAGCGGGGGGGGAGAATGCCTCCACGCCTGCCGTGAAGAGTGCCGTTAAACAACCTACTCATGTACAACCACAGAGACACAGATCCCACCAATAGGCATGGGCCAAGTGCTGTTAGCAACCACCTTATGATGACCAGCATGGGACACAAAGGGGGCCTTGGTGGCCAGTAGCACGCCCGGCAACCTTCTCATCACTAATGTTTTAACACACTGCAGCCAGATACTCGAGACGTAATAGCACGCGTGTGCTCCTCCACTAACCCCGCACATTACCCCTAACATGCACAGACAACTCTCTCGCTACACAACAGCCCTTACCTACTGCCCACACAGGAAACTGCACACCAATACCCGCCATTCGCCACTATGTGACGGTGACATCGCCACAGTACCCAGGTGCACTTTGAGGCCACGTGAAGTGTCGAAGGCTTGCCGACAGGTGGTCTCGGGACAGACCCAGGTGCCATGGGTTGGCTGACCGAGATGACTGGTAGATGCACCAGCTGTATCCCCTACTGTGCCAAATTGCTGAATTTTAGCCGCCCGGCGCGCTCCGCTCGTTGTGAGCTGTTGTTCCTCCGCGCTCCATTGTTGCTGGAGGGCAACTGCCTCCAACTGCCCAGTTGCGTCCTTCACGAGCCTCTTTTATAGAGGCCGATCTTAACACCGCTGGTACCAGTCGACAAGTTCACTCGGTTCCACATCCTCCCGTACTGCATCACTCCATCTCTTCTCCAGCCCATGTCGTGCCCGTTTAGCCCCCTCTATGCAGCCAAACAGAAGCTGCTTAGGCATGCGGTGGCTGTGCATGCGGGCTACATGACCCAGCCAACGCAGCCTTGCCTGCCGGAGGAGCTCACCGATAGGAATGTGTCCAGATCTTTAAAGGATTTGTGAGCTCGCCTGCGCAGATGTTTCATTAGAAGGGTCCACGTTTCACAAGCATAGAGAAGGGAGGGCATGGCTGGCCGAGAAGACCCGAAGCTTTGTGCAGAGTAACAGACTAGGTAGCTTACATACATCATTGCGCCGCCGATGAAAATATAATGCCGCCTGCACTGGCGGAGCCAGTAGGGGGGGTGGGGTGGCACGTACCTCCCCAATTATTCGATCGAAATCCCTAATTTCGATCGGATCAGTGGTTTATTAGTAATAAATCGGCATTTTGCAACACCCACTGCCACTGTGTAGGATATTATTACGTGCCAGGGACTCTATGAGATGATAGGACAATAGTCCGAGTGCATAATTGGCAAGAAGTAACGGCAAAGCAGTTATAAGTGACTCAGAATTGTGCCGAGTTGCGTATACAGTACACGACTTCCCTGAAGGTATTCACCTTCAGCGAGCGCGATGCCGATCACACAACGCGGTTCAAATTCGACCCTCGATCGATGGCTGTACCATCGGCACCCACGCATCGAATAAAAAGCAAGGGACAAATCCTTACTAACAACTCCTTACTTACTAACAACTCCTTACTAACAACTCCTTACTTGCTAACAACTCCTTACTAACAACTCCTTACTAACAACTCCTTACTCACTAACAACTCCTTACCTACTAACAACTCCTTACTAACAACTCCTTACTTGCTAACAACTCCTTACTTGCTAACAACTCCTTACTTACAACTCCTTACTTACCAACAACTCCTTACTTGCCAACAACTCTTTACTTGCTAACAACTCCTTACTTACCAACAACTCCTTACTCACAACTCCTTACTCACTAACAACTCCTTACTTACCAACAACTCCTTACTTGCCAACAACTCTTTACTTGCTAACAACTCTTTACTTACCAACAACTCTTTTCTTACCAACAACTCCTTACTTACCAACAACTCCTTACTCACAACTCCTTACTCACTAACAACTCCTTACTTACCAACAACTCCTTACTTACTATCAACTCCTCACGAACAACTCCTTACTTACTAAAACTCCTAACAACTCCTTACTAACAACTCCTTGCTCACTAACAACTCCTTACTTACTAACAACTCCTTACCAACAACTCCTTACTAACAACTCCTTACTCACTAACAACTCCTTACTCACTAACAACTCCTTACTAACAACCCCTTACTTGCTAACAACTCCTTACTAAGAACTCCTTACTCACTAACAACTCCTTGCTTACTAACAACTCCTTACTAACAACTCCTTGCTTACTAACAACTCCTTACTAACAACTCCTTGCTTACCAACAACTCCTTACTAACAACTCCTTACTAACTCCTTACCTACTAACTCCTTACCCACTAACAACTCCTTGCTAACAACTCCTTGCTTACTAACAACTCCTTACTAACAACTCCTTGCCAACTAACAACTCTTTACTAACAACTCCTTACTTGCTAGCAACTCTTACCTACTAACAACTCCTTACCTACTAACAACTCCTTACCTACTAACAACTCCTTGCCAACTAACAACTCTTTACTAACAACTCCTTACCTACTAACAACTCCTTACTTACTAACAACTCCTTACCTACTAACAACTCCTTACCTACTAACAACTCCTTACCTACTTACTCCTTACTTACTAACAACTCCTTACTTGCTAACAACTCCTTACTAACAACTCCTTACCTACTAACAACTCCTTACTTACTAACAACTCCTTACTAACAACTCCTTACCTACTAACAACTCCTTACTAACAACTCATTACTTACTAACAACTCCTTACTAACAACTCCTTGCCAACTAACAACTCTTTACTAACAACTCCTTGCCAACTAACAACTCTTTACTAACAACTCCTTGCCAACTAACAACTCTTTACTAACAACTCCTTACCTACTAACAACTCCTTACTTACTAACAACTCCTTACCTACTAACAACTCCTTACTAACAACTCCTTACCTATTAACTCCTTACTTACTAACAACTCCTTACTAACAACTCCTTACTGGCTAACAACTCCTTACTAACAACTCCTTACCTACTAACAACTCCTTACTTACTAACAACTCCTTACTAACAACTCCTTGCCTACTAACAACTCCTTACTTACTAACAACTCCTTACTAACAACTCCTTACCTACTAACAACTCCTTACCTACTAACAACTCCTTACTAACAACTCATTACTTACTAACAATTCCTTACCTACTAACAACTCCTTACCTACTAACAACTCCTTACCTACTAACAACTCCTTGCCTACTAACAACTCCTTACTAACAACTCCTTGCCAACTAACAACTCTTTACTAACAACTCCTTACCTACTAACAACTCCTTACTTACTAACAACTCCTTACTAACAAGTCCTTACCTACTAACAACTCCTTACCTACTAACAACTCCTTACTTACAACTCCTTACTAACAACTCCTTACTTACTAACAACTCCTTACTAACAACTCCTTACTTACTAACAAGTCCTTACCTACTAACAAGTCCTTACCTACTAACAACTCCTTACCTACTAACAACTCCTTACTAACAACTCCTTACCTACTAACAACTCCTTACTTACTAACAACTCCTTACCTACTAACTCCTTACTCACTAACAACTCCTTACCTACTAACAACTTACTAACAACTCCTTACCAACAACTCCTTACTAACAACTCCTTACTTACTAACTAACAACTCCTTACTAACAACTTACTAACAACTCCTTACCTACTAACAACTTACTAATAACTCCTTACCTACTAACAACTCCTATCATTTTTAATTGCTGGAGAGGTTGCCCGCCCTACCTGAAAAGCCAATGGCCGCCTGACTGATTCAGAGTGAGACCTCTGCTGTCAAACCGGAGCTAGTCATGCGCACACTGCCCAGGTATGGGAAACTCTCCACTCCTGCCCCATCACCAATTGGGAGTTGTGGGGGTGGAGTGACCGATGGTACAAAATACCCAGGCAGGTGCTTAGTTTTGGTGGGGCTGATGGTAAGGCCCCACCTCTTAGTGGCACGCTCCAGTCTCAGCAGCAACGTCTCCAACTCCTCCTCTGAATGAGCAGCTATTACCAAATCATCGGCATACATCACGTGGTTGAGCAATAGGGAGCCATCCCTTAACCGCACCCGGGCATCGATCAGCCT